AAAAAGATATCATTATGTATATCTTGTTTTTAGAATTCAATAAAATCATAAGCCATTGTATATTTATTTTACCAAAATAAAGTATGAACATTATTTAAATCCACATTTCAGAGAATGTAAACATCATTCAGAATTGACCTTAACTTCAAAACAAACTTCATTTGCAGACAAAAGTGTTAATTAATCTCAATTTGACAGAAACAGATGCTTTGGATTTTCTTCAAGAGGAAAGTTAATTAATCCCACAGGACTAGTTGTAGCTTTCATAGTTTACAATAGGAACATTCTCAGCAGTTATCTCTCTTTGCCCTGGCATTCATTCTAATGTAAAGTAATGTAAGAAATCTACCCCACCACCCCACCTCCAAACTGGATGACACAGAGAACCAAACTTAGCATCAAAATATGTCTTACTGCATTTTCCACCAACATACCAAATTTGAACTTAATTGGTCGACTATAAAAAAATTTATTAGAAAAAAAACAGAAAATTTGTGGATGGAAGAATGACAGACGGACAGCTAGACAGACAGACAGAGTGATTACTATAGGGCACCCACAAATTCTTGCAGGGCCCTAATTAGTCTGAACTTATAAAAAATATGCCATATATGATTTTAATTCCAAGCAATGTAAGTATTGTACCAATACTTGGTAATTGGTATATACTAGGACTGTTTACTAGTGTGTTTTAATTCATATTTAATATTGCTCAATTTTTCCCTAATCTATAAGCAGTGAAACAAGAAGAACCTGTAACAATCATATGTCTAAGAAAGCTATAAGAAAATTTCAAGCATATTTTTTATGAGTATAAATAATAAACTGTATCTTCCATATTACTTTTATGAAAATATTTAATACAATACAATAACAAAAAAGACATGAATTAGGGAAAATAAAAAAAAGAGACTCATGGGCATGCTCATGGGAGTCACTATAGCCCTGCTGTTCTTTTCTCCTATATATTCCTACGTAAAACTTTGATCACATACTGTAGTCCTATCCTACCCCAAGGGTCATGATATTAATTAACTTGAATGTACATTACCTAAGGATGTTTCCATACAAATGCAGTCAAACCTCGCTATCTCGAAAGCCCTAGTACCAACCATTCAAAAGTTATGGGCAAGGTTAACATTTTTGTGGACATTAACAAACAGACAGACCAAAACCTCTACGTCCTGGAATCTCAGCCTTTTTCATTTGAAGTAACATACCTTGTGATACCTCTGTTGGTGGCCATTATAAGTATAGGGGCCATGTCTGACTCTAGGGCTCGGTTGAGGAAAGAAAAACATTCAATGTCCAGCATATGTACCTCATCAATGAACAGAACCTAAAATAAAAACATTTTTTGTTACATTATGTAAATTACTGTTTTATTTCAGAGATTTCCACATTTTTTTATAAAAGCAAATTTCTACTGGAAAAAGTAAATTGAAATACAAAAATTTTAGGTGTGATGTATATGTAATAAAGATCTTTAAGTATGTAAAATTCCCTATTTATTCATGCAGAAAACAGAAAGGTATCAAAATTAACTTAAGATCCTTTAATATTCTTGGTATGTATTTCGATTATCCATTTCTTGAATAAAATCGTACAGAAAGAGAGGTAATTCTTGCTTCTTGTAAAATAATTCATTTGTGGTCTGATGACATGTTCTTCAATTTCTCTTTTAAATATACCAAAACATTTATAATAATTATCATGTTCTGATTTCTAAACTGTTTAAAAAATGTCTTTAAAAAAACATATAAACCAAAAACAGGGATATCAGCAATGTAAATGATTTCCAATAGGAAACATGATCTGACTACATATGAATTACAGAACCTCACCCCTGGATGTCTAAAATGGTCTGATTACATATGAATTATAGAATCTCACCCCAGGATGTCTAAATATGGTCTGGCTAGATGTCTAAACATGGTCTGATTGCATATAAATTATAGAATCTCATCCCTGGATGTCTAAGCATGGTCTGAATACATATGAATTATAGAATCTCACCCCAGGATGTCTAAGCATGGTCTGACTACATATAAATTATAGAATCTCACCCCAGGAACAATCTCTGCTTTCCCCTCCTCTCTCCACTCTGCTACCTTGGAATTAATCTGTTCTCTGACCTCACCCTTTATTTCTCCAGTGTCACCTAAAAAATTGCAGAGTAAATTGACTTTCCAACATTTTTTTTATGTATGTATTTACTTACTATCCAAAATCAAAAATACACAATTCAAGTTTTCTAAATAAAATTCTGTATGAGAACATATCATATTTCACCATTTTTTACATGTAAATTTATACTAAATATACATTTTATGTGTCAAATTCAGCCTTCTGATGTGCAAAACAACCAATGAACTTCATGATACCTGAGAAGAGAGCCAGAAAGCCCTGTGTTCTACTGTTGATGACATCAATTTCATGTAACGTCACTGTGTGTACAACCTCTTTTCTCTTCTGTAATTCTCCCTCAGGACATTGTACAAACTTTGTCTGGAATTCAGGAAAAAGTCAGAAAATCCATAATTCTTATTTAAAATCTTTATCTGTATTTATTGTTTGCTTTTTTTATACTTTCTAGAATAACTGTTCTCAAATTTCTGTCCAAAAAAAATTCAAAAGTTTACATTATATATTCACTTCAATGTATATATAATGTTACCTGGGCTCCCATGGCATCATAATCACGTGCTCTTGTGAAAGATCTTCCTAGCTTTGTTATTTTTCCTGTGGCTTTGTCTATTGTGATAATATCTCTGAAATTGTCACATTTATATTGAAAACATCTTTAATATCAAAGAAAAATACATGTATGAAAAAAAAATATTCAAGTATTGATACAAACAGAAGCACATTCCACCAGATTTCTTCAGATCTGATCCGATTTCAATGCGAAAGTATACTTACCCTGCCTGAACCTTTTCTTTTGTTAGAGATTCTATCATTTTCTGACCAAGATCATAAATTGTTTCCATTTCTGTTGTTTTCAAAGTCAGTTTCCCAACTTTTGCCCCCTAAAAGATATACATGTATCTTATTAAGAATAATTTTTAAAAAAATATTATATTGTAAACAGTAAAAATTCTTCTCCAATTATCAGGCTCATATTTTTTTTTTTAATTTCTGGCTGAATTTTAATAAATTTCTATCAAGCTTGGATTAAATTTTAGATAACTCGTTTACATACTGTTCCTGTGGCAGGTCTATCTATTTGGATTTCTACAACCTCTCCTTCAATGATCTCTGTCTCTTCTCTGAAAAAAATATGACAAACATAATGTTTGATTTTACCTCTTGTTAAAAGAACACAGTATTTCAAATAAAATGAATATACACTTAAAATGATAATGAGATTCACAGTTTTACTTTATTCTAACACCAATGGATTTCCTGAAAGCTTGTGTAAGGGCTTCTGTTTTGCTCATTTCCAATGAAAAAATTTCACTGCCTGCTATGCTGGTGAAGGGGGTATCTGTTCCAAGAGCTTGTGCCATACCTGTAAGAGTCAAGTTTCGAAAATAATGAATTTTTTAAAACATACAAAAGAAAAATCATTAGTCAAATTTTACTTGACTTCAAAATCAAAGAGACAACTCTATATCAATGCCGAGATCTGATGAACTGTACAATACTAAGAAGGTTTGATCCTAATAAACATTATTCTTAGTAATATTGCCAAGAAAAAATTACTGAATATCCAAGAATCACAATTTTATACTCTTTACACTTTCAACCTAAATCATTTTTTAAGAAGATTGCTATAAGATGCTGAACTATCATAATATAAGAAAGAAGACATTTACCCATAGCAATGGCTGTTTTTCCTGTGCCTGGATGACCTGCTATTAGTACTGCTCTGCCAGCTATCTTACCCTCCTACAACAAAAGGATTCAAAATACTACAGTAAAACTCGTTTAGTACGAACACGGATATTGCGAATTCATGGATACAGTGAAGTTATCTTGGATCCCCAGCTATATAAATTTAACGAAATTCCTTATACGGATATAACAAATTATGGATATGGCGAAGTAATTTCATAGGTGCCAGTGACTTCGTTATAACTGAGTTTTACAATACTGACTATAAGATATGAACCCTACTGAGCTACTCTGTGCATTAGTAATAATGGATCAGTTCTTACTTTTCAAAAGTAAACACAATGTAGTGTGTAATTGAAATTTTTATTCATCAATCTTTTCAAACCAATTAAAATAATTTTTCCCCCCTACATACTAATTTTTCTCAATAATCACAGAAAAACGATAAATATATTTCTATTTTCTACTCATATTTTTATGAGATTTTTTTTCAATTAAATATACACATTAAAATATCACTAATTAATTTTTTTCAAAATTTAAAAAGCATGCGGATAGATATGTCCAGTGTTTCCAAACTTAGATTGTCTAACTGAACCCCTAGTACAGACCTTGATCATCTCCAGTATGACCCCAGCAGCTCTCCTAGCCTCCATCTGACCCACCATGCCTTGTGACACATTTCTGGCTTCTAAAGCATCATCCAAACCCAGACCACGGATGTGTGAATGGGCACCTTTTATAAACATTTTCAAATATCAAACATAGGAAAACTAAAAACATTTATGTGTGCACTTACTATTGTAATATAACCCTACCTGTCCTTTTAGCCATATTAAAATGAATCCAGTTCCCCTTCAGTGGAAATGTTTGGTCATGTGAGGGGTCATGCGAGGGGAAGCAAACTCGGGAACTAATCTTGGCCATATTTACTACAGATATTGGGTATTTTTCCCAAAGAGAAAATTCCCATTGAATGACTCATTTTCCCCTTTTATTGAGTGAAAAATCCTCTACCCACTTAAAAAATCAAAAATTTTAAACAATATTTTTGATCACGTTCTACCATATTACCATTTACAGTAGTTGTTATCGCAATGTTTACTAAACAATTTGTACTTGTAGTATTGTCGCGATTCTTTGTAAGACTGTTTAACATTGTTAACATTGTTTTTTTAGAATGAGTATGAAACATATATATCATGTCCAACAAAAGATGATTCTTAATTTCTCCAAAGAAAAGGGGTAGTTTCTACAGAAACCTAGATTAATCCCTGAAACTATCAATTTTATTTAAGCCTTCAAGTAAATACTGAACCTAAAACTTTAGATACAAGAAAGATGCCACATTTACGTGTACCTTAATGTGTTTTAGAACAAATAAATGATGCATATTCTGCAATGTTGGAAAACATTGTCTTTAATTAAATAACAAACTGAAACATTTCTTTCAGCAGAATTCTTTGATCCTAGTTTTATAAAACTCTGCCATGTCTACAGTACATTTATTGTCTTGACTCCTGAATACAAAAAAAAAACAAAAACTTACTGATGTTTTACTATTTGGCAATGTATGTATGTACAGCATGTGTCTAATTATTTTTAAATCTATTACTTTTATAATTCTTACCTATTCTTTCAATCCTTGTCACTTCTCTTATTTCTTGAACTTTCTCTGCTGTTGGCTAAATAACAAGACATCAAATTAGAGAGGAAAAAATGCCAAGAAATCATTCAGTCTACAAGCAACCAAATTTAAAAAAATAAAGTTATAGTCAAAAGTTGACTACAGTGTATTTCTTTTCCAGGATCTGATAAAAATATTAAATGTCCTAAAATCTAATTGCAGATATTGCCAGTAAATGTACTACATGTACATTCAAAGATGCATCAGCTGCAGATCTGTAGATCTGTAGCAACACTGTTTCCGTTAACACAAATCTCTAGTATTACCCCCTAAACATCATCCAAAGGATCATCATGATACAGAAAAATTATGAAAACATATATTAACCAGAAGTTTCTGAGGAGACTGTAGGTCTACTGCTTTGTACTTATAACAAAGGAAGAAAAACTAGCACTTGGAACTATGCAACAAAAATAAACAGAATAATGATACTTGGTTTAGTCTCTTTTTGTGGCAAAATTTACTGCAATCAGACTTACTGTAGGAGTAGCCTTTTGAAAGAATTTCACTGAAATTTCCATATTTAAAGACCATTGCAACACTGTTCAATGAAATCAAAAAATGATAAAGACTAGAAATATGTCCATAAGACATGAATGCCCCGCCGAGGGTATATTAGTAATGCAACATTTAAACACAAATTGAGAAAAGTGAGGTCAAGGTCAAAGGAAAGGTCAAGGTGAAAAGATATTGATGCAGTTGAATAGCTTACATTAGTATGTATCAGCATATGAAGTTTGACACAAATTTAAGAAAAGTGAGGTCAAGGTTAAATGAAAGGTCAAGGTCAAAAATTGTTTATGCAGTTGAAAAGGTTACATCAGTATGTATTAGCATATGAAGTTTGATAAAAATATTATGAATGGTTTTAAAACTGAGCTAAACACTAATTTTAAAAAAAGTGAGGTCAAGGTCAAAGGAAAGGTCAAAGTCAAAACATATTGATGCAGATGAATAGCTCTCATCAGTATGTATCAGCATATAAAGTTTGACACTAATTTAAGAAAAGTGAGGTCAAAGGTCAAAGGAAAGGTCAGGGTCAAAAATGTTGATGCAGTTGAATAGCTCTCATCAGTATTTTTCTGATATGGTCTGAATGGTTTCATTAAAACTGAGCTAAACACTAATTTAAGAAAAGTGAGGTCAACATCAAAAGAAAGGTCAAGGTCAAAAAATGTTGATGCAGTTGAATAACTTACATCAGTATGTATCAACATATGAAGTTTGATTACACCATCTTGAATGGTTTCTTTTAAACTGAGCTAAACACTAATTTAAGAAAAGTGAGGTCAAAGGTCAAAGGAAAGGTCAGGGTCAAAAATGTTGATGCAGTTGAATAGCTCTCATCAGTATTTTTCTGATATGGTCTGAATGGTTTCATTAAAACTGAGCTAAACACTAATTTAAGAAAAGTGAGGTCAACATCAAAAGAAAAGTCAAGGTCAAAAAATGTTGATGCAGTTGAATAACTTACATCAGTATGTATCAACATATGAAGTTTGATTACACCATCTTGAATGGTTTCTTTTAAACTGAGCTAAACACTAATTTAAGAAAAGTGAGGTCAAGGTCAAAGGAAAGGTCAAGGTCAAAAAATGTTGATGCAGTTGCATAGCTCTTATCAATATTTATCAGCATATGAAGTTTGATAAAAATATCTTGGATAGTTTCTTTGAAACTGAGCTTTGAACAGAGCTAAACTCAAAGTGTGACGGAAGGACGGAAGACGGACATGACAAACACTATATGCCCCGGCAATATTCATGGCGGGGCATAAAAATTATGTATTTTAGCATTTTGAAAGTATTTCATAGATATTCCTATTTGTAGTATCCTTGGCAACACCATTTGTTGAAACCAAAAAAGGATACAGAGAATTATACATCTAAGTGTAGTGTGCTTGTTTGCCAAGTTATACTGAAATCAGACCAAAACTGTATAATTTTGAAAATTTGTTTATAGACAGCTAGACAAACAGATGGACAGATAGCTGCAATAATGTAACCCTTTCCGATTTTTTTTTTTTATGGAGAGGGCTACAACTCCTAAGGATCTCCATAATGGTGCAAGTGTGGGAGTGATTCACTACCGCACAGATTTTGGCTCAAATTATCAGTAAGTGGGTATTTTATTGACATATTCTTACCTGAACTCATAAAATGTAGTTATGCAAGACATGAATAGATCCATAAATATACAGAACAATCCGTATATCGGTTATTTTTCGTGTATGTCAACATCCCAACTTAAATTTTCCGCCATGTTTACTGACCTTGATAGATTTTATTTTGGGACAATCAATGAGAATTCGGGATCTATGGGAGCGGATCATTTAGGATTTCCCTTATTTTAAGCATAAGTATCACTGTTTATGGAAAAATATCCCATGGAATGCTTTTATTTATTGGTATTTAGTGATATTATACAACACAAACATTTATCAACACCGACATTTACTTTATCAAGTGATTCTAAATTTCAAGCATAAGTCTCAGTACATCACGCGAGAACTGTCATGGCTGCTGAAGAGAACGACTGGTAAACAGGCAGATTCATTTTACTTAATTTTCGCGTATAAAGGGCTATGATGTTGATAGTAAATAAAAATTCCGTCTTATTGGAAGTAAGTTGAATGCAAAAAAATTATTTTGCATGCAGTCGCCCGTATCTAAAAAATATATTTGCACCATTACGGAGATGCAGCAGAATTGTAGCCCTCTCCTGAAAATATCAGATTAAAAAAAATCGGAGAGGGCTACATTATTGCAGCTAATGGACAGACTACTGACACCTAACTATAGCATTAGCTCTTCTGGTCGCTTATAAGTAGAGCTAAAAATCAGGTTCCACTTTGTTGCCTGGACGGACCGGTTTATTAATTTAACTTACATATGATGTTTCTATGAATAAATTGTTGATTTAATTTCCAAAAGGCAGTGATTGAAATTAGTCAAACTTGTCATAGTGGTCACCTTTATCCTTTATCTTTTAAAAGGTCAGTGATTTAAAAGCTTTGAAAATTGTTGTTAAACGTAAAATCCCCCAGGGAGATTTTCAAAAGTTGCCAAGTATGAATATATGATTCTTTTTATACATTACATGTAACAAAAGTGTCATTTATAGTGTTGTGAATACTAATATTTGTTTATTGATTGAATTTCAAATAATTCAACATTTCATCACCTTTAATTTTGAAGGGGGGGGGGGGGTGAAACCTAAATGAATTTGTTTTTGTTAAGACATTGAACTTTTGATCTTAAATTGCCCTAACATTAATAATGATGTTGAAAGTGAATTTGAATGCAAAGCTCAATTTTTTCTAGATTTATATCAAATCCGAAATACAATTAAGAAATCAAAAAAAAGTTATCTATTATGGCATAATACCTGTAGATTGGTTCAATAATGCATAGTTACCGGATAAAATCATTTTATTTATTTATTTTTTTAATTATTTTTTTTAATGAGGAAACAATATATGATGGACAATCTTAACCATTATATGTTTTGTTCTGTAAAACACAAATGATGTTTCAAAATATATTACACTCTCGTTAGTTTTTGACAAGAGTTTGTTCGAGCAAGTTCGATATCCAGGTGTAAAGTATGATGTCAACAAAGGCACGTGTTGCCAATTTTTCTGCCTTAACAGATTGAACCTAGCATGAAATTAACCCATATTGACCGATTTAAAGGTGAATTAAAAATTTCACTCAAAAAATTAGGAAATTAATCAAAAAACTATGATAAACGTGGAAATGCTGCAAAGATATTTGCTTGATAAACTTACTGCTGCCATTTTGCCGGTCTGTGCTTGTCGAAGCGCCCTCTACAATACAACAACAAAAATAGATACGGTCCGAAATGTCTCAGATCGATGTGAACGGACAATATTGGTATTCCTTGGTGTCAATCAACAATGTGAAAAAGAAGAAAAGCGCTACTCTTAAAATGTATTTATTATTTTCAGACCAAAAAATTGACGAGGATGTCATATTTTATCAATGGGTTCAAAGCTATTTTTGACGCTTAATTTGTAATTTCGAATTGATAATTTCAGGGACCAGGGTTCGAAATTCACTAAATACAACTCGCAAAACACGAGTTAGAATTCCCAAAGTGCGAGTTAAAAATTAGGTAACTCGCAAAAACTTGCGAGTTGATTTTTTTTTTTTTTTTTTTCGCATTGAAACTGTAGCAAAGTTATATAATATGACAGAACATTAATACTTTTGATTTAAATCAGTAATTTAAATAAAAGTCACACTGTAGTTGTATTTTGTGTATTGTACAGTAGTTACTTTTTCCTTAAGTTACATGTATTCAATTTATATAAATTTAACTTTATATGAAAATTGCGAGTAGTCTTATAAAATTGCGAGTTCACTTTGTTGGCACTCGCAATTATTTGCGAGTTGTAATTTTAGGGAGTTTCTAACCCTGGGGACCTATAGTATATAGGTCCCTGATAATTTTTAATAACAAATTAGGAGAATATATTACGGCTTTTGAAGCTTTCTTACCTCTCACTATTTGGGCTGCATTAATGTTTTTCTCTCTCAATATAAATGTAACGTTATGTTTTTGGTACTATTTTATTTAATAAGCTTTATAAACTGTATCTGGGACTTATATACTTAGTATATAGGTCCCTGACTGTATACACGGGCACTTGGACTATTAGTATATAGGTCCCTGGTTTAATCAACATTTGAAATGTTCTAGGAATTTAAAACCATTGAAATTTTCATGACCTTTGGCGGAATTGCAACCACCACCACCCCTTAAAAACCCTTCTGAGAATTTTTATTAGATACAGAACTGATCAAGAATGCATGAATTCTTAGCGTTTCATAGCTGATAAAGTCAGAATACATTTAACAATATCACTACAATGACAATGATCCATTCAGATCATCTATTTTTTTCCAACTTCACATACTCACATGGCACATAACAAGATGTGAAATTTCAAATACCATGAATACATGTATTTCACAGGCACTTGTTTCAGTAATAATGTTTTTAACCCACAGTATTTAATACATGTACTAATAATACTATTATACCATGGGTTAATTAAAAAAAATCATTACAGAAACGGATGCCTGTGATGTACTACCATGACAGATCAAGGTTGAATGTTAACTTTCATGTTTGAATTTCTGAATAGAAGAGGTAAACAAATTTTGTATTTTCCTTCACCCAGTCAATTCAAAATTTACACGTTATTGCTTGTGACCTCTAACAACCCTCTATGCACCAAAGACTTTCTAATCAGTGGCGGATCCAGGAATTTCAAAACGGGGGGGGGGACGCAGTAGAAGGCGGGAGTGTGCATTGAAGCCCCCAGCGGGTCCAGGGCAAAGCCCTGGTGGTGGTCCGGGGACAAAGCCCCCGGAAACTGACGAATTCTAACATATAAGAGGTGTTTTTCCCTTGATTTTAGGATAATACAAACAAAACTCCCAAAAAAATTCAAACGGGGGGGGGGGGGGGGCACGCCCGGCGCTGGATCCGCCTTTGCTGATTCTATGGCATTTTCATGCAGTTGGAGAAATCTGACCTTAACTCTAAAATTAATTAAATCTACAGTGTACTTTCTAATAGGCCATGGTAAATTAATTGAACGATTTATTTGCAGTCATTTTCCCCATTTGTGTAAGCAACAGTGACTTTTGTTCTTCAATACTCCATCGTCTTTATACATCTTCCCTGTAGGTATATGTCCAAGATACCCAATGTTAACAAAGATCGACTTCTCTCTTCAAACTATAAATTGGCAGATTGACGTTGCATATATATATATATATATATATATATATATATATATATATATATATATATATATATATATATATATATATATATATACACACAAACACTAGTTCACATTTGGGGTTAACCTTCACCTTTGGCCATGCAATTCATGTATCAATAATGATTAAAATCCATGCATTGGGCATTAATCTGTGATTTGAAGGGGAAATGAAAAACACAACTTTGGTAAAGGATTTCAAATGCAGTTTGTCTAGGAGAAGATTTATTTTTTACAATGTTTCCCAGGGTTTGGTCCACTCGGCCTAAGGCCAAAGGAGTGGGGATCTCAAGCACAATTGAATTCAGATCCTTAACTAAATTTGGTTCAGTAGTGCAGATGAGCAATATGTGAATTATTAGTTTTTTAAACATAGCACAATGAAGGACAACAGAGAGAATGGATAGCAATATGACAGGAACCTATAAATGATTTCTATAATACATGGTAAGGTACATGTATGTATCATATGAGGCTTTACTGATTAAATTGAAGATTTTATTAAATCTCAATGGTTGATCAAGTGACTGAATAAATATTTGACGTAGCATTATAAAGCAAAGACAATAAGTTAACAATTTCATGGGCAAACTCAGATTTGAGGATTTTAAGCTAAATGGCAGTGTCTTAGCTTTAAAGGTTCAACATTTGGACATTAAAGAAAAACAAACATCACAAAATATATAATTTATATTTCAGTTTGTTTAACAAACAAACAAACAAAAATAATTGCACATAATATGCCACTGGCCCTGCTCACATTCACTGGGTGGCCAAATATGTACAGCATAAAATACTGCAGCGCTAAAATTAAAAAAAAAACACACACACATCCAAATCTATCTACTTTATAATATAGTCACAACACTTTCAGCTGAAACATTAAAGACATGATGCAATATTGCAAAAAAATTATACATTTAAAAATAATTAAATTTAAAAATTTCTGAGATCATGCATTTACAATATATTCAAATTTACAAACAGTACTTTACTACTTATTCAACCTTAGATACGAAATTAAGTTGCATACCTATTAGATGTCTATTCCACAAAAATAAATGTGATATAAACATCTTTAACTTTAATTAGAAATAGTTTTAACACTTAATAATATTGGTAAAAATGAGACATTTTTCTAAATCATGCAAGTATACATGTATGTGTGTATATACAAAATTAGATATATTCTTAAAAAAAAAATGATTGCACCTTAATTATGTGTGTGTTCTCCCATGCATGTATTTTCTCCTTAAATAAAAAAAATAGAGAAAAAATAGCATTTACATGAAATGGACCATTACTAGTATGTATAAAATGATTTATCATTAGTATAAAATATACGTGATTGTACTTGAATACCATAATCAAGTAATACATGTATCTACAATGACAAGCACATATACGTACACCTGTAGCAAAAGCACCCATCCCTGGTACCTACTGTACAGAGATAAATGGAATGTTTAACATAATTAACTGAAAACAAAGGTTTAAGCTGATATAATAATAATACAAAACTAGAACTGTCCAAAAGGGACAAATACCCCCCGCTGGGTTTTTCAGAGAAAGTACCAAATCACTAATGTTTTCTAAATGTGAGAGGTGTTCACAATTTCCTTAAACATTTACAGTGAAAATTTAATTACTCATTATATTTTTTTATACGTCCGTCTTAAGACGGGACAAATTATGTTATAGCGTTCATGTCCGTCCGTCCGTTAGCTTTTTCATGTCCGGCTCATAACTTTAATACTATAAGGCAAATTATCAAACTTTGTCAGCTGATACATCAAGGGTAGAAGGTGTGTCGCACATTAAAACCAAGTCGCTCTGACCTTTAATAAAGACGCTATGGCCAAATATGGAAAAATCATAACTAGAAAACCATTAGACTTAGAATCAAAAAACTATGTCTTTTAACTTTTAAATTACACAATCCCAAAAGATGTCAGAGTATTGCAGTATCTTTATTAAAAAAGTGTTAAATCAAGAAAATACTAGTCTTATTTTTTTCATTATGTTCTTTACAGCAATCTGTAACAACAAAAATTCCACCTCTCCCATGGGTGTAATGATCAGGCACTGGTCAAGGAAAATTTTGATAGCAGAAAATTGCATGTCAAATTAGAGATAAATTAATGAGTTTAGTGTGAGGAGATAACTGGCAGAGCATCTCTGATCAAGCAGGTGTTATCTACATCTCTTGGGAAATGGGCAAAAGGAATCAGTCTCTTAATTAATTGCTTTTGTTGTATTGAATTGTTCTTGTTGGCTAGTCTTACTTTCAAGATAAATTTGATGTAATTAAAACTAATTTGATATTGTATATAATAATTAAAACTTGTATGATATTGTATAATATAATTTAAACTAATTATTTATTGTATATTTTTTATTTGAATTTTTATATCTTTACAACAAATTGCAGACTGCCTTGTCTCGCTAAGATGTCATTCGAACAATTGAATCTAAACTGTTTATGATAATTTAACAATATTTGATGAGCGTATCATGCTGTGGTGGGGCACTTTATTTAATGAATGAAACTAAGGTGCAGCCTAATAAAACATCAACACTAATAATTACAGTGTTTTTTATTACATTGAAAAAATAGTTTGCAACTATCTGCCATCTTTGTGAGACATGACACTCTGCAAATTGATTGTTGAAAAAAAAAATATCATAATTAATTATACAAAATCAAATTGATTTTAATACCTTTATATCAAACTCATTTTAAAAATAAAAGGCTGGTTTTAGTAACTATGTATTTTGACAGACATAAATTACAAGTAAGACACTTAGACAACAGAGATCTTTATTTCTTTCTGCCCAATTCCCCTGAGATACAGATAAGACTTGCTTGATCAGAGATGCCCTAACAGCTTCCCACATTGAACTCATTAATTAATCTTTAACTGGATGCATGTCCACTCATTACTCCCAAGGGACAAATGGATTTACACTATCTCCTGTGTAATGTAAAAACTGTTTTTAATACTTTGTGTTTTTTTTTAGTTCTAATGAGTAGTTTTAAGCTGTAGTTCACATTTTTGTACAGATGTTCTAGATTCTATGTCTCAAACCTTAGACATGAACCCAAAATGACTAAGTCAATAAAAATAAAAAAAAAAAACACCTGTAAAATTCAGAAAAATTATCAAATAATGTTGAAAATACCAGGTGCACATCTTCATATGGTAAACAATAAGTGTACAAATTTTCATACAAATCTATGCAATAGTCTCTGGGAACAGATCCAGACAAAACCACATAATAAAAATGAAAAAACACCTGTAAAATGCAAAATAATTATCCAATCATAATGAAAATACCAGGTGCACACCTTCATATGGTGAATAATAAGTGTACAAATTTTTAGACAAATCCTTCCAACAGTTTCCAAGAAATGGTCCGGACAAAATCTCGTCTACAGACAGACGGACATGCTGATTCCAATATACCCCCCCTAAACTTCGTTTGCGGGGGGTATAAAAAATGATACAGATTGCCATGAATTGGATATAATTAAGGATTTCAAGTCAAACATATATTTCAACTGAAATATGTAAAGTCACCTGGAAAAAATAAACAAACTATGATGCCTGGTTAAACCCTGGAATGTGTTCATAGAGTCCAAAAAAGAATATTTAATGGTCCACCTCTGTATAAATATTTGCTGGAAGCTCAGCATTTGATATTCTTTATTACTCTACATACAGCACAAAAGCACGATAGAAAATAGATATCAATCCGCCTTAGAGTTCATGGCTGCCCCTGCACAATAATGTCCTTGACTAGTTTCACAGTGAACTCATTTTCAACAGAGCTGAAGGATTCTACCTCTCAAACCTCCGAGAGATAGAGTGGCAGTGGATCTGTAGTCTATAGTTCAAAGGAATCTGTTTTTATGGTGAAACTTCCTTATCCATTATTCCATTACTGTGAATCTACGGATTTACAACTTCTTTACTGGCAATGTCAATTTTTAATGGCAAGCATTTTCACACACATTGTTTGTGTCAGACTGTTGACTGTTTTGAATTCTGTGCTAATTTGTCAGCATATATTCCTATAAAAGATCCATCCTCATTAAATTTACTAATGTCTAAATCTCCTCCATATTCCCCCATACTGTCTTCATCACTCTCTATCTGCTTACCAAAGTCATCAGACAGAGAAATGTTGTCATACTTGTGACCATCTTCATCTCTGAAATATTGAAAAATTAATTCATTTATATAACTCATAAGATTGTTCATTAAGAGACTTCAGATTTAACTGTCTTTCTTTATCTTGTCCCAAATAAAATTTAGTAAGATATAAAGTGAAGCACTACACAGAGACACTACCATATTGTGCAGTGATTACTTCAGCACTTACGCTCTAGACAAATCATGGAATCCACTGTCTGCCAATTCTTTTTCTGGATCATGCCCTGCTGCTACCTCCTTCTCATCCACTAATACAAAAAAAAACAATAGAAAACTTGATTCTTTTCTGAACATGGTGACAGCACTGATGCAATGCTAGTTTCTATGACACAATATCAAAGACATACTTTCCCTCCAGTTAATGTCATTCTCTAATCCTCGAATGAGCCCCAACCAGAGCTTGTATTTGTTAATGCATGTACCCAATAAATTAACTCTGCCCTCCCAAGTCAGTTTCTACTCAAAGTTAGAGGGAAAAGTTTACTTTTCATGATGTATGCCAAACTTTGTGGGTTACTCTTTTAATAATATGTCAAGCTTTTATGGGTGCTCTATTTGTAATATGTCATTTTTGTGGGGTACTCTTTTTGTGAGATGCCAAGCTTTGTGGGGTACTTTTTTGTGAGTTGTCAAGCTTTGTGGGGTACTCTATATGTGATATGCCAAGCTTTGTGGGGTATTTTTTGCGATATTTTAAGCTTTGCGGGGTCCTTTTTGTGATATGCCAAGCTTTGTGGGGTACTTTTTGTGAGATAACAAAACTTTGTGGGTACTTTTTTTATATGCCAAGCTTTGTGGGGTACTTTTTTGTGATATTCCAAGCTTTGTGGGGTATTTTTTTTTGCGAGTTGCCAAGCTTTGTGGGGTACTCTTTATGTGATATGCCAAGCTTTGTGGGGTACTTTTTGTGAGATAACAAAACTTTGTGGGTACTTTTTTTATATGTCAAGCTTTGTGGGGTACTTTTTTGTGATATTCCAAGCTTTGTGGGGTATTTTTTTGCGAGTTGCCAAGCTTTGTGGGGTACTCTTTCTGTGATATGCCAAGCTTTGTGGGGTATTTTTTGCGATATTTTAAACTTTGTGGGTACTTTTTTTGTGATATGCCAAGCTTTGTGGGGTACTTTTTGTGAGATAACAAAACTTTGTGGGTACTTTTTTTATATGCCAAGCTTTGTGGGGTACTTTTTTGTGATATTCCAAGCTTTGTGGGGTATTTTTTTGCGAGTTGCAAAGCTTTGTGGGGTACTCTTTCTCTGATATGCCAAGCTTTGTGGGGGTATTTTTTGCGATATTTTAAACTTTGTGGGTACTTTTTTTTGTGATATGCCAAGCTTTGTGGGGTACTTTTTGTGAGATAACAAAACTTTGTGGGTACTTTTTTTATATGCCAAGCTTTGTGGGGTACTTTTTTGTGATATTCCAAGCTTTGTGGGGTATTTTTTTTTGCGAGTTGCCAAGCTTTGTGGGGTACTTTTTGTGAGATAACAAAACTTTGTGGGTACTTTTTTTATATGCCAAGCTTTGTGGGGTACTTTTTTGTGATATTCCAAGCTTTGTGGGGTATTTTTTTGCGAGTTGCCAAGCTTTGTGGGGTACTCTTTCTGTGATATGCCAAGCTTTGCGGGGTACTTTTTGTGATATGCCAAATTTAATGGGGTACTCTTTATGTGATATGCCAAGCTTTGTGAGGTACCTTTTTGTGAGTTACATGATGGAGTAGAAAGTTTGCGAGTTGCCAAGCTTTGTGGGGTACTTTTTCTGTGAGATGCCAAGCTTTGTGGGATACTTTTTTTGTGATATGCCAAGCTTTGTGGGGTACTTTTTCTGTGATATGCCAAGCTTTGTGGGGTACTTTTTCCGCGAGATGCCAAGCTTTGTGGGGTACTCTTTATGTGATATGCCAAGCTTTGTGAGGTACTTTTTTTTTATGGGATGCCAAGCTTTGTGGAGCATATATATATTTTTTTGTGGAATGCTAAGCTTAAAGCTGTGCCAGCTTTTTTTGAGAATAAAGAGCTTTGTATTGACCCTTTTTTGAGGAATATTTATACTAATCTTTGTGATGCCATTTGTGAAGGATGTTGTGCTCTTTGTTTCTCTTTCTGAGGGTTGCCAACTCTGTGTTGTTCTAACATTTTAGGATGTTTTGCTTTCTGTTGCCCTAATTATCAGAGGATATGTAAATTATTCACTGCCCCTCTTGATGAAAGCTTAACCTTGGGGTGCCCTTGTTTAAGAAATACTTGTAATATTATACTTACCTGGATATGTTCCACTTTTACAAGTATTGCGATAAAGCATACATATAATTAAGATGATGACGATGATCAGGATGAGGATTCCAAAGATAATTCCCAGGAACCATAAATTAGCCTCAGATGGGGGTGCTTGGGAAACTGGAAGAAAGAGAAACAAGAATTTTATATGAATTCACATTAAAGCAAAAGTTATCAGAGATCACCAAGATCACCTACATAAATATTAAATACAAGTCAAAATCTAACACAAAAGGAATGCTCAGTAAGATCTATTATTTACACATAGTTCATCATACTAGGCCTTTCAAGTCATTACACAACTTAAAATACTTGTTCCTCAATACAACTGTTGGTGTTGTAACCCTTGATGCATCAAAAATGCAGTTTGTTTCAAGATGGACTTATGGACCTACACCAAAAACCATCACTCATCTGGAAATATAGGTCAAACTCAGTATCCAAGGTAAGTCTGGTAGTGTGAACTCCTAAATGCAGCAACCATGCAAGTTTGGTAAAAGTAAGGCTTAGAATTATTTTGGAAAGGACTGGTCAAAAACTTTTCACTAGTTCTCACATCTGGAACATATACCCTGTAGGTCTGATGCAGCATCCAAAGCAAATCTGGTAGTGTCAGGGCTCTCACACCACTTTTTCGGAATGGGGCCGGGGTGGTAAAGATTTGGGAAAAAAGTGACCTTTTGGGAAATTTTGGGATAACCATTATACTTTAAAATCATATATTGGGTTTCTGGTTTTTGTTATCAACTAAATTTTTGTTTTGCAATGCAGAGGAATATGAATAGCAAGTTTGGTGATTACATATCCAACTATATTTTCTCTAATTTTTGGGAGAAATGACTACTGGGAAAATTAACACATTCAATCAGGAAAAAATGGTACCCTTTTTGAATTAGGAATGGGACCCTTGAATGGCCCCAATTATAGACAGTTGAGAGCCCTGAGTGTCTAGCTAGTAGAGTGTGTAATAGCTACATTATCAATGCAAGTTCCAGAAAATATGTCATCCAAAGCATGTCTAGTAATACGTGCATCCCAAGATGCATCACCCATGCAAGGGTTGCATCCTTGTAGGCTCTATAGTTTCTTTAGAATTGACCAGCTCTCAAAACGTTAGTCTGGAATGCTGTGATTCAGATGCCAGGCTGTAGCACGAAAGTTCATCTCAACTTAACTGAGGTGATCTCAACTTTATTGAGGTGAGCTAAAAAGGAAAATATTGCCTAAACTGAAGAAAACATTTTTTTCAAAAACAAATTACACACATAACATATAAGTACTGTACACTGTGTGCACTGGCCAACTTCTAATGTGCAGAATGATAAGAATCAAGTGAATTATTGTAATTATACTGATAAAATAAAAATTAAATAATCATACAACATAAATGTAACAGGGGAAAAAAATGGAAATTTCAAGATATTTATATGTAGGACTCCATCATTGAAATAAATACATGCATCTACTAAAACCTAATACATGCACAAAACACCAAATCAATGGAGAAAGTTAATCCTCAACCAGCCTATCCCTTATACAGTAAATAAACAACTGTTTAATAAATCAAAAAATAATAGGTATTCAATGAAAAATATCTGTCATGCTGTTTTCTTTTTTCCGAGTGATATAGAAAAAAATCTGTGTAGCAGATTTCCTGTTTTTTGTTTTGTTTGTTTGATTTTTTTTTTTTTGTTATTATTTATTTATTAATTATTTATTAATTTTCATTTTGATGTTGAAGATCTACATGACTTCAGTCTGACATTGTACAAGTTATTTCCCTTGTCTTTAAATTGCTGATAATGATGAGTGCATCTGGTCATTTACTGACAAAATTTTTACACAGTAAAAGCTATCAATAAATTTGTTCGGATCATAACATAAACTCTACACTGCTATAATTATTCAATTTAACTGAAAATAAAATAATGTTAATGAAACATTCAAAGCCATAAGATCCATAGTGGTGTTGTTCTTACCAGGTGGTAATGGGTCGGTGACATCTAAGAACAAAAGCCACCATCAAAGGTCAATAAGTCATAGGTTTTTACAATAAATAAGTCATACAAACAACTTGTTATATGAAAAAAGGGGTGTTGAAAATGAGAAACCCTTTCACAAGGAGGAAATAGCTAATGTGGGTGCAGTTGATCTTGAGGTTTCATTGCAACATAACTGGATCAAATACAAGAAAGTATGTACCCCAATGATAAAGCAACATGGCGAAAGTAGAAAAGTCTTCAGATACTAGCCTCTCTGTCACTTGGTTAAGTTTAACTACACCTGTATTAGTACAGATAATATTCACTAATGTACCATTCTTAAGAACTACCCCTAAACTTGTAGACAAACTTTTTCCACAGGTTTATAAATGTACATGTAAGTGAATCTAGATTCACTCACAATTAAACTCACATTTAAAATGTGTTTAGCTGAAACTGCCATAATTAATTCCTATTCCACTTTTTTACCCATTTATAAACCCTATATTCCAACTTTCAGTTATGTCACCTTTGCTCTGCTTACACATAAAAGAATTTACAATTCAAGAGCAGTAAAATGTTGCCTGAGTATAACATACATGTATGGCAACAACTTTCCATATTCCTAATTAGATGTATATGTGTCATGATCTCCTTTCAAAGTCATATCACAAATAGCTGAATTAACTTCAATTAAGGGTCCATTAAACTTGAAATATAGTTATACATTTGCAATACTTTTACAAACAGGTTTTGCATGAACTAATAATTCACAGTCAGATCATTAAGTGAATCTAAAAATGTACATCATGGAAAAAGATATGTCTACAATTTCTGCGTACATTCCAGACTATGATTTCTGACTTTCCAGATACTAATAGGATAACTAATGAATACACATTACTTATATAACAGTAGTACTGAATAAGTACTTACTTGCAGGTATGTCAGTAACAACATCCACATGGACAAATTCAGCATCATATTGATGATATACTTCCACACTGTATCGTCCAACAATATTAAAAAATTGTTCTTTATTTAACCCTCGTGCATTGATGGTGAGATTCCTATTATTGTTGGACAGTGTCCATTGCCCTTTATTTGATACAGATTTGGTCACATTATCCAGATTTGTAAATCTCCATTTATATCGTAAAGTCAATGCTGGGTCTGTCCTAGCGTCCACTGCTAGAGTCAACAGGCTTTCTCTGTCTATGCGGTACAATTTTTCTGGTTTGAGGAAAACCATAATGGGATCTGCAATGGAGGTTTTTAACTTAAATGATTCTGTCTTCCAGTGGGTAGTGATTTGTAATACTTAGATATACCATTTGGTAAATTTTCTAACTGGAAATTAAATTTGTGGTGATATTGTAATGTCACACTAAAAGCTGTTGCTACAAGCGTGACATGAGATAATCTTGATATCCTACTGCTTACACGTAGATGACAATTCTCTATCTCTCATAGATGTCTTCCTCCCCTCACTTTCTGTACTTACCAATAACTGCTAGAAACGCATCCTTAAAGATCATGCCTTCACTGTTTTCCGAAACACACTGGTAACTTCCTGTCGACCCAGATCCTGGTCGTGAAGGAATGGGCTTTTTAACCTCTAACACTGTCAGTTCCTTCATGTCCGAACTTACCAAGTATTTTAAACCTACTGAAATATCCAAAACATGAACGCATTTCATTCAAGTCCCCTTTTGCATGCATAAAAGAGGTGCAGATTTAAAAGTGCAGTGCAAATCATCAAGCGTCAAACAGAAATACAGTTGAACTTCGGTATCTCGAACACTGATATCTCGAATACCATGGATATGTCGAAGTGATTTGGAAGTCCCAACCCCTTCTTCAAGTATTTTACCCTGAATATCGAATCTACGCATATCTCAAAGTTTTTTCTTGATCCCATTCAGTTTGAGATAACGAGGTTTGACCATAATACAATTCAATGTTTGACCACATGAAGGGTAATTTCTGCTGCTTGCCATTTTTGTGAATTGCACCCTAATGGGTAGCCTGTTAATTTTTAAGCCAGGTTCAATATCCTGTCAAATGACTACAAAATAGTTTCAAAGTAAATCAAGATCTTATGATTTGTAATTATACTAAAATAAATTTAGCTGCACTGCAAAAAACCTAGCAAAAATGCCCATCAAGTGGTCTTTAATGAGGCTTAATTTTAAAACTTGTAGGAAATAATATTATAATCATGATTGTACAAAGTTGTAATATCCAAATATTTTCTGTTGACCTTGACTGGCCCCAATGTCTCTGCCATTTTTCTTCCATATAGGAGGTGAGGGGGGAACTTCTCCTTGCACTGACACAACATCACAGTAAAACACTGCATTCTTTTGAGCAGAGACATAAGTGTCAGACATCTGTGGGTTATTGCTTTGTGGATCAAAGAAAGGAGGAGCTAGAAAAGTGAATTAATACATCAAAATTATCAATTCATCATCCACTGAAAAATCTTAAATGAGATATCTTTTCCCTTTATCGTTAAAATTTCTTTTTAAAGAATGTGTATGCATGCAACCCAAATCATTTAAAGTACAACAATGATCTAGCTTAATCTAAAATGCTTTCAATCATTTTCTACAACAAAATTAGTGGAGTTAATTTAGAATAAATGATCTCAAAAATGCCTGGAATTTCCTAAATTTGTAGTATATATCTGATAATGAATTCAATGACTCACATGTAACATTTAAAAAGGCCTGTTGCTGAACTTGATTATTTGCAATACAAGTGTAGGACCCCTCATCATCAATAGTCAAATCCTTCACCACTAGCTTTCTACCAAAATCATCCAGCTCATATTTTGCACTATTGGTAAAATCTATTGGTTCAAGTTGTGGAGTCTTCCAGCTTATGGTGGGGATAGGACTGAAACAAAAGGGCATATCATGTGAACTACAAAAAGGACAAGTCAAACATCATAAGCTAGAATAAATACTCAGATATATATGTAAATAGACATGAGCATCACTGGTTATCAAATCAATCAAAAGCAGCTATATTTCAGAAGCCACAAAAGGGAAACGAGCAGGTATCTAACTTCATTCCTGCAGAATTACACCTGTCACATACCGGTAATAAGCTTTAATCAAATGTTTTTAGAAGATGCACAACAAATTCAACCCATATTTCTTTTGGTTAAGTTTCTGTTTATACTTATATGCAGAATATATCATACTGTTTTGACATGAGGAAACTTTAAGCTGTATGACCAAAAAGTTTGTCTGATATAATATCAAATTTCATTAACAGAGGCCTGTTCAACAGAACGAACGTCCGCAAGCGCTCTCTAAAATTCCTTATCCCTCCAACAGAAATGTTCGTGAGCGCTCGCGGACGTTCGCTCTGTTGAACAGGCCTCAGGTGTCAGACTTACATCTTACCAGTATTCATAATGACATAAATTCATAAAAAAAACTTAACTTTTAGACAGTCCATTAGAAGTTGAAAGATAAAATGCTCCTGCTTTAAAATTGGGGCCCTGGTTGCAAATGTAAATATTGGATTTTAAATCATTTGGTTACATATCCTACATTGTTCTAAGGAGCCCCTCATTTAATTTAAAAGATGATACAAAAATTAGTTTGTCAGATTTCTGTTTACAAACTTTGAAGTTTGAAACATACAATGCTATCAAAAATTACAACACTAAAATAAGCAAGTACTGACATTTGATGCAGGTGACTTCATTTATCAACTCCCTCCTGGGAAGTGAAATTTACAGAGAATTATAACATCCAAGGCTAAAATCACTACTTCCAATATGCTTGATAAATCAGTGTCAACCGATATCAAAAGAGTCAATGACTTTCTCAAATAATTGCAATGTGTCCACAGAATATAACCCTACTGAGGCATTATGATTGGTTATGTCTCCTTTCTAAAAATTCAATTATCTTCTCATTTTTTTCAAGGAATTATTTAAAAGAAAAATTTAATATTTATATCAACAACAATCAGAATTTATGGTGGTTCATGACACCATGAAGACCTAATATAACACAAGGTCCTATTTTTGTAACAGGGTGGAAGCTATAATGTTGTTTGTTGTCGAAAATTCTCAAGGTTGCGGAGTGTCTTGCAGAACCTTGGACCTTGTGATGTCAAAGTTGTTTTTTTAACTTCATTTTTATTGTAATGAACATACATGCATATATATAAAATCCAATATTAATAATTATCTGTTATGTAGACCAGGGTGCATGAACTTATGGACAGTTTATTATCTAATAAAAACTTACACCATGCTTCAACAAAACAGGAAAAAAATATCATTAATCTTATTCATTTAAAATAATCGTAAGTGCATTAAAGATGATGCAACTCAATTAATAGCTCCAGTATTTATTTATTTTATCTTTTTGTAAGAAAAAATAAATATGAATACATAAAATAAACAAGAGGCCCAAGGGCCTTAATGGTCACCTGAGTATAATACAACAATTTTGAGGATCCATAGAGTATAAAATGAACTGAAAGGTGAAGCTTTATTGCCCAAAAGCAAGAAAAATAGGGTGATCAGGATCAACAAATAATTAGTCTAGTATTCATTAACAGTTTGTAAATTAGGTTCTAATCTGTTCCCCATTTATCACTATCACCAGTATATTAACAAACTAATCAGTGCTTCTGTACTATTTTAATTCCTTGTTGGAATCTCTTACATTGGCCTCTCTTGGTCTTTGATGAACATTTAAAAAGACAAGTTATTTTTTGTCTCATTTTTATTTATCTATTACTTACAAGTCTACCTGATCAGTAAAACTATGAAAATACTTTCTGTATTATACAATAAAAAATCTTGCATAATTCTCTTATTCTATTAACCTTTCAAGTACATTGTTTACAGTGATTAATTATCAAAAGTAAACGGCAAAGGGGAATAACTCCTCTCAGTAGAATACAAATGAATAGAGCCCTGGCGAAGACCAGAATACTTGACCAAATGGTCCAGATGTTCAAAAATCTGGTAAAAATACCCTTCCTTATTAAAACTTTTACTCTTTTTGCCTCTGATATGCCCAAGTGCAGTGAAAATTTTTAAAGAAATAATGCATTTTTACTACAGATTCACTATATTATCAATAGAGCCCCCCCTCCCCACCAAGAAACACCAGAGCCTCTCACCCTGGGACCAGAAGTTTGCTCATCATAAGTTATCACTTTGTTTATCTGCTTAACACTAAGAGCAGACAGATTATTTAATAGAATTAATGCATTTTCACTATATTAACAAGAGCCCCACCCTTACACCAGTACATCTGACCCAGGAGTCATGCAATTCACTACTCTTGAAGAAACACTCTTGCTCATCATAACTATACATTTAGCTTCTTTGCTTTTTAACCAGGAGCAGAAAAGAAGATTTTCAAAGAAATTCTGCTTTTTCACTGTATAATCAATAGAGCCCCCCTCCCCCTTCACCAGAACCCTTGGCCCTGAGGCCATGAAATTCACAATTTTGGAAGAGGCATCCTTGCTTATCATAACTATGTATTTAATTTGTTTAAATAATTCCCAGGAGTAGAGAAGAAGATTTTCAAAGAAATAATGCACTTTCACTATAAGATCTATACAGCCCCACCCTAGCACCAGAACCCCTGACCCTGGGGCTATGAATTTCACAATTTTGTTAGAGTCACTCTTGCTTATCATAACTATGTATTTAATTTGTTTAAATAATACCCAGGAGTAGAGAAGAAGATTTTCAAAGAAATAATGCACTTTCACTATATGATCTATATAGCCCCACCCTAACACCAGAACCCCCGACCCTGGGGCTATGAAATTCACAATTTTGGTAGAGTCACTCTTGCTTATCATAACTATGTATTAAATAATACCCAGGAGTAGAGAAGAAGATTTTCAAAGAAATAATGCACTTTCACTATATGATCTATATAGCCCCACCCTAGCACCAGAACCCCTGACCCTGGGGCCATGAAATTCACAATTTTGGTAGAGTCACTCTTGCTTATCATAACTATGTATTTAATTTGTTTAAATAATACCCAGGAGTAGAGAAGAAGATTTTCAAAGAAATAATGCACTTTCACTATATGATCTATATAGCCCCGCCATAGCACCAAAACCCCTGACCCTGGGGCTATGAATTTCACAATTTTGGTAGAGTCACCCTTGCTTATCATAACTATGTATTCAAGTTGTTTCAATAATACCCAGGAGTAGAGAAGAAGATTTTCAAAGAAATAATGCACTTTCACTATATGATCTATATAGCCCCACCCTAGCACCAGAACCCCTGACCCTGGGGCCATGAATTTCACAATTTTGGTAGAGGGCTCAATGCTTATTACAATCATGCCAACAGTTTGACTGCTTGATGTCCAGGAGTAAAGAAGAAGATTTTTAAAGATAGCACTAATTTTGATGGTTTTAGCCCCATCCCTCAGGCCCCAGGGGGGCAGGGACCATGAAATTCACAATTTTTGTACCCCTTCACCCATAGATGCTATATGCCAAAATTGCTTGAAATTGGTTCAGTGGTTCAAGAGAAGAAGCTGAAAATGTTCAAAAGTTTATGACCGACGGATGACGACATACGAAAACAGATAGCAATAGGTCACCTGAGTGACTCAGGTGACCTTAAAAAAATCAAAATTATGTCTCCAAATTGATTCCCAGATGCACAATCTACATAATTATGAACAATTCCTAAATGAAGCAAGCTAGTGACAATAAGTTCATGATACACGGATATCAATACTCAATAGTCTTGTTTAAAGTCAACATTTCACAAATGCCTGGTTGATACAATGACCTTGTTAGCAAATACAATCTATCATCAAATCGATGTTTTCATACAAATTGTTTGGCAATTATTAGCACACTAGCTGAACCACTCAACCACCCATGTTTACTGAACTGCTTTAAAATCAGTGTCTTTTTTTAACTTTCTTTACCATCAAAGAAATCTCTAGAACAATTGGGACTAGATCTTTGATTTACAGACATAAACCTGTCCTTATACATACCAGTAACATAAATGATAGTGTACATATTTTAGAGATATTCACAATGTGCTTTATGTACAGTTATAACTGCACCAATTCATAACTATAAATGTACATATGAAAATTCTATTCCTAAAAGTAAAACACTGACAACTCCAATATTTGACAGTCTAAAAAGTGACATAACCTATTCTCAATAGATTGATAATTTACTGAAATAGGCACACACATGGTTTTCACATACAGAAATTGATCCATTTAAAGAATGCTGTACTAACCTTCCTGCAAAAATACACTGCAGTGATGCTTTCTGTCCAAGAAAAGCCTTTGTATTGGCTGAATATACTGGCTTTGGCTCCATCAGCTTAGTCGTAGATCCTACAAAATACATATATTATACAATTATCAAATGACAGAGGGGCAGACAGATGAAGAGGAAACCTTATAGGCCTCTCTGGTTTTATTGATACAAGACTAAAATACAAGACCCCTCAGGTAATAGTTTACATAAAAGGCAATTCTCCAGATCTCACACATAGAGCAGGGTTCGACACTAACGGTGGACCGGGGACACGAGTCCACCATAAAATCAGAAGGTCCACCAAATGTTCTGGACTAGGTGGACCGTTGGTGCACTAAAATTTAAAACACCGTATTTTAAAAAAAACACGGTAAAATTCCTTTTTTTTCGATAAATCGACATCTGTAAATCAAACGATTAATTCATCATTACTTGTATTTTACAAGAAATAAATATGGTAAAATTTGTTTTAGGTAATATTGATGACTACAATAACAATAACATTGAGACGCAAGAACATTCAACACAGACCTTGAAAAATAAGCATGTAAAAATCGTGCCTGAACGCACACTGATGGCCAGGTTTGGAGATAATCAGAATTGATTGACAGCTGCATTTATGCATTGTTTATTTTTTAGATCTTCAAACAGGCCTGATTAATATTTTATGAACATATCTGCAGTTCCTGTTTTTTTCTGCTATACTTTATATCACTTAAAAGAATCATTGACCACAGTTTATTTGAATAAATAATAATTTTAAAAAATAATAATTAAATACATATACTTTTGTCAGTTTTGCATCGTAGTAAAAAATTGTTCTAGCCATAGATATATGAAAAATTCACTTGTTTATATGAACAACTCAATTATTGGGATTTTAAATTTTATCTACCGTTAGGAGCGAAATGCAGGTTTTTACCTTTGTAAATAAATAATATTAAAATAACAAATTGTTTGAAATTACATGACTATATTTATTGTATGTTTCACAATATTGCTGAAAACTCCTGACTAATTGATTTGTTTCTGTTGACTGGTTAAACTTATACTTTATAAGTCTGACTAGACTGGGTACATAAGCTAGTATCAAGCCTTGGTAATGAATAATGAATTCATTCAATAATTCAAACATTTATGAAGGTCCACCAGAATTTGAGAAGGTCCACCAATAATTTTTTTACTAGAGGACCTGCGGTCCACCAAGGTAAAAAAGTTAGTGTCGAACCCTGTAGAGGATTGTCTAAATATTTAAAAATATCTGAGGATTCAAAATACTGAATTAGATAATCAGTATATGTTACAGTCAGGACTGCCAGCTCACTTCAACATATCCCTGGTATTTGACATATCAGTTTTGGAGATCAATTATAAACAGTAAACTGTGTAATACTTACTGATGATCCGGAGGGACGTCATACTGCCTTTAGTAAACGTCCTGGTCACTTCATTCCACAGTCCACAGCCATAATCCTGTCCAGGGACCCAGTCTTCCTGCTTTACATTCAAAATGTGCAAATTTCCTACAAAGAAAATGAATTTTCATCTACATTTCATGAGCACTGTAACTAGATTAATTTGGCAAATTCTGTAATTTGTCATTAGTGAGATGAAGACTTGTAGACACAATAAATTTTACCAATATACACATTTGAAAAAAAAAACTTCTTGATTTGGTAATATAACAAAAAAAGGACACTCAGATCATCCTGTGGGGTTTATAGAATAAAGACCTATTTCGTCTGATTCTTTTCTATATGCAAAGCCTACCCTTGCCATTTGCTGTCTCATTCTATCTTATTATCAAAACCCTATCCTAACCATCCACGGACTCATTCTATTTCATTATCAAAATCCTACCCTCGCCATCCACTGCTATCCTGTCTGATACTTGGACATTGTTATCAGTACCCGGGCCTTTCTTCCACTCCACTCGACACTCAGATGCGGGCTCACATGATGGACGGCCGCGACACTGGATCACACAATCCTGATTCTCCGTACAGTCCATAGTCACTGGGGCATCTGGAAAACTTCCCAAAACTATAAAGAAACGTGCATTTATTTAATGTCAGCAGCAGTAAATCTATGGTCTTTCTTTTATTTGCACTTCATTTATTGAGAGTAAAGAGTAAACTTTTACCAGAATGATATCCTGGCAATATATAATATATACTGTATGTTATAAATCCTTATGAGTAGAATATTATTTATTTTTGGAACCTTAAATCTTGTTGCTTGTGCAATCCATGATCATTTCAAATATATACTTTGAATGAATAAGGTACTGGCATTGATGATGTGAATTCCTGTGCCAAATTTCAGTAAAGTCACTAACTTAAGAATATCAAGTTCACTAAATGTGGATATATTCTGACTTTTCATTTCTAATTTGACAAAGTACCTCTCACTGCCTTACACAAATGAAACTAAGAGATTAATTAATTGGTCCTGCTAATGCTGACAAATATTGATGATGATAACTTACAAGCTAATTTCACTTGTATTGGTTGTGATAGGGCAGTGCCATAACTGTTACTGGCGAAGCACTGATAAGTTCCAAAGTCTGTATTGTCCACCCGTGTAAAAGTAATGGTGCCCAGTTTGGAATCTACAGCAACTTGTCGACTATTTCTCACTGCAACATTGTCCTTCCTCCATTGATACCTGTAATTTACATCAGATTTAAATCTATATTCTGGATCATTTCAATGGTAATATGATATTATACAAGCACTGCATAAATACTTGCTTATATATATATTTTTTTTACCAGATAGATTTTTTAGAATTGATTTTTATTAATTAAAAGCAAAGGGGGATAACCTTCAAGTACAGGACAAGGTAAAAATTAAGGACACATTTTGCCTTTACATACTGATACTAAAACAGAAAGATCATATCTAAATATACTGAGAATTCTGCCAATATAGATCTTCTTTGCATTCAGATTCATTGAATCTGAGGCTATTATGGGTCGGATACCTTAAATCTTAATTGCAGCACAAATGCAAATCACCCCCCCCCCCCCCCCCACTCCCGACAATATGTAAAATCGACAATAGGAGAATCTGGACAGTTTTGCAATACATTGTACAATGTATTAGTTCAAATTCGAACACTGAACCCCATGATTACTTCATGATACATATACATGTATTATCTAAATTCCATTTTTATTAGGAAATGTGGCAACTGGCACTAAACAGTAATAGGTATGGGTAATGTTGTGAAGAGCATCTAATTCATTCTGCAAGAAAACTTTGAATTATATTATATTGCAAGGGGTTGCTCTGTTTTGAAAGGCCCATGTTTATGATATCTTTTAATTTCACAAAATTTAACAAAATTTCACACATATCTTGGAAAAATTTAACTTTTATACTGAAATATGAAATTTCAATAGTTTACTTTTTACTAAATTATTTCCAAACCTAGTTTTAGTTAACTTGAGGTCAACAGCAATATGATTACCCCTGTCTACTGTCTCTTAACTCCTTCTCAATACCCTATATTCCACTTTTTCCTCAGACACCCATGTTAAGGTACCCTTCCACTGATTACTCAGACTCCATATATCATTACTCTATCTCCTTAGAAAACATACATATCACTTCACCCTATTCAATATCTTATTTTATTATATACCCAACGGTGTATCACTCAATTTTACTGTAGATTTTGTACAGTCACGTGACGGTGTGATCCGACTTTCCAGATCACTTCTGAATCCATATCACCCCTCTCTGAAATTGATGACGTAGTACACAGAAACATGAAGTTATTTTTCTTGGGCATCAAAAAGTCCCTTGACACAATGCTTTGTTTAATGGAAAATTATTAAATAATTGATCTCAGAAGTTTTTTAAAACTATATCTTGCTAGTTGTAAGGGGGTATATAATATATTTATCATTATAACAGTAACTTGATCCGAAGAGCCATATCACGTCTCGTTGACAGGCGCGGATCATCAGATCAAACTCGACGCTTCGCGTCTCATTTGATCTGATAATCCGCGCCTGTCAACGAGACGTGATAGGACTCTTTGGATCAAGTTACTGTTATAATAATATATATAGAAAACATCGATCTCCTCAGAAAACATATCTCATTATCCTATCCACTATCTCCTCAGAAAATATATCTAATTATCCTATCCAATATCTTCTCAGAAAACATTTAGAGGATATTCAATGTTTTGTAGATGAATATGGAATTTATTTCACGAGTGGGACAGGATTTTTTGATATTTACACGAGTGCAAATATAAAAAAAATCCTGTCTCACGAGTGAAAAATAAATTCCATATTCATCTACAAAACATTGAATTTTCTTTTTATTACATTTTCATTGATTTTCCCTTTGTCTCTGTCTTTTTGTAACACAGTGTCATAGGCTGTGATGTCATAGCTGAGCGGTTGAGAAGTCATAGCTAAGTGATTGCGAGATTGAAAAACTATGTAAACATGGATTTTTAATGACATATTAAGAAAATCTTTGGCAGTATAACTATTAGTTTCTGTAAGGATGGTTCATTAACTCTATCTTATAACAGTCCAGGGATTTTTTAAAAAACACTCTTTGTGAAGTGAAGGAAAATCGTAAGTCTTGCAGCACTTCTGAAATTCTCACACTGTGAAAATACCATTTTGATATCCTTTCACACTGCGTCAGAATATCACTTTTATTCAGTAAATAAATAGAGGATATTCAATGCTTTGTATATGAATATGGAATTTATTTCACGAGCGGGACAGGATTTTTTGATATTTTCAAGAGTGCAAAGCACGAGTGAAAATATAAAAAAAATCCTGTCTCACAAGTGAAATAAGTTCCATATTCATCTACGAAACATTGAATTTTCTGTTTATTACATTTTCTTAGATTTTTCCCTTTGCCTATGTCTTTTCGTAACACAGTGTCATAGGCTATGACGCCATAGTTGAGACGTCATAGCTAAGTGATTGTGAGATTGAAAAAATGTTGTAAACATGGATTTTTAACGATATACTTGGAAAAAAACTTTGGCAATATAACTAGTAGTTTCTGTCAGGATGGCTCATTAACTCTATCTTATAACAAGCCGGGTATTTTTTTTTAAAAACACTCTTCATGGAGTGAAGGAAAATCATAAGTTTTGTGGCACAGTCTTCTGATATTCTCACACTGTGAGAATACCATTTTGATATCCTTTCACACTGTGTCAGAATATCACTTTTATTCAGTAAATAAATTACAGTATTTCACTGTTGAAAATGTAATAAATAATGGTATTTCACTGTTGAAAATGTAATAAATGTCATTTTCTATTCAATATCTCCTCTCAATACCATATCCAAAATCTCAGAAAACGTATCTCATGTCCTATTTAAAATCTTCTCAAAAAAAAATTTTTCATTATCCTATCCACACTCACCTCTGACACCATATTATCTTGTTTCCTTATCCACAGTTTCTTTACTTTTGAGTGATACTTACGTTATGTTCCCATTAACGGCCACACACCGTATCGTTACTGAAGTTGGGTGAGAAAATTGAATGTAGTATGCTGGCTCAAATACAGATGTTATTGATGGAGGACGATTAATTACTGCCAAAAAAGAAAAATTCTATCTTGTTACATAACAATTAGGTATACGAGTGATGATTATCATCTATTTCAAATAACTTTTTTGTTTAGAGTGTGGAATATGCACTTTGTTAATATATATTTATATTTTCAAATGTTTGTCTGAGATAAAACTACAAACAAGGAAATAGCTTTATGTCTTCATAAAGCCATTTGCTCATCATGACAGAACATGTGGCTTAGTAATACAATGGGTATGGCTTGAAGACTTCGAATGAAATAACATAAATACCTTATTTTTTATTGAATCAAGGCAATCACAACTTCTCAGACCTTTCCAGCAAGCAAATAACCTCAAAAGTGTTACTTATGCGTCCATGCCACGCTCCCCCCCCCCCCCCCTTTTCAAAAACATTGAAATTAATGTAGGGAGACTTTTTATCTAAAGAGACTGGAGCTTAACTTCATTAAATGTAAAGATTTTACCTAAAATATACTACAGAAGAGACAACAAACACTGTCTATCAAATACTTTAATGTATACAAAGTGCCTCCATTTTGTATAAAATTTTACCATCGGTTGATTTAAGTATATTTGAAGTGTTTTTCCGAACTTGCCGGAAAGGCCCAAGAAGATACAATTGGAATCAAGGATTAGGTAAAAATGTAAATAAAAGGAATAACTGTCTGATTTTTTTGTTTTATGATGATGATCAAACAGTTTGCTCATGGCATTTATGCAAATTATCATGTGAGCAAACTGTCTGATCATATCACAACACAAAAACATAGGTAATCAGAGATTACAGAGCTCACCTCAACGAATGTTGACTTTAAGTAAGGCAAAGTCCCACACTAAACTAATAATCTTGGAGTGTGCCTAGATGTAACATTTATGCAATTTTGGTCTGATATGGATTGCAGTTACTTGGGAATGGACTTACCTAAAAATTTAAAACAAGTCACTCATCCAGAAAATGTAAGTCAAATCCAGCATCTGAAGCAAACTTGCAAGTGTTCATCCTGTGATGCATCATCCATGCAAGTTTGGTTCAGATAGCCCTTATAGTTTCTTGGTAATGGACCTGCTCCAAAAACTTTAATCTGGTCACTCATCTGGAAAATGTAGGTCAGATCCAGCATCCGGTCAAGTAGTGTGCATCCTTAAATGTATCATCCATGCTAGTTCGGTCAATACAAGACTTACAGTTACTTGGAAATGAGACTTGCTCTAAAAACTTTAACCTGCTCCAAAAACTTTAACCTAGACATTCGATCCTTAGCTGAAATTGCAACAACTGAACCTTGACTGGTACATTGAAACATACTAGAAGCATCATCCATGCATCTCTGATTATTCTAGGGCATAAAATACTTGAAATGAAATCTGTTCAAAAACTTTCACCTGGGACGCCAAAGCTGAGGACTATTACATAAGCCCCCCCCCCACTTCGTTGAGGTGAGCTAAAAACTAGACAACTATGAAGTCATCAGTCAGAACAATCATGGTCTTGACTCAACCTATTCTTGGTTTTATTTGTAACTGTTAATTTATTAGATATTTTATTTGAACTCACCTTGGCAAGAAATTAGGCATATTGAAAAAGCTATAAATGTGATCTGAAGCCACTGGGATGCCATCCTCTACAGTGCAAAATGTTGGCTTTTTTGGGTCACAGCATATGCACACCTCTGAAACAGAGGTGAAATATACTTTATAATCCTTCATAGTAATATCAAGCATAATAAGTGAATGAAAATGCTTATTAGACTCATTTTTAACATCACAGTCCTGTAACCAAATAATCATGACAATTAAGGGCTAAACTTATTATGTAGTACATTATTGTCATTCTGTCAAATACACCTTCAGAGCTACACATACATACATATAAGAGGGTTTCCATGCAGTCACTTGTTACATGTAAAACTTTCTACTCCATCTACTACTACATGCAACTCTGCAAACTATAATAATTCTTACCTTTACCCACTATCAAATTTATTTCCAAATTAAGTCAAATTTTAAATTATGTTCCCTTCAATTCATATTAAATTCAGATTAAATCAAATACACTGTACTTGTGTGTGGCACAAGAAGTCTAGGACCTATATGGTGTAAAATAGATGCACTTTGCCATGTTCATTCACAGATGTCAGAAAATCAATGTATGGTTACAGAGAATGTCTACTCATCCGTGATACCAACATATGTCTTTGTCAACAGCTGATGTATTTTAATGACCATTCAGAGGCACATGAATTCCTTGTAAAATAGACTTAGCAGGATATCAGCTCACTAAATTTGTTGGAGAAGTTTAAAATATAGCTATATAATGTCAAAGATCAACACACATAAAAATTGACTGCATCAGATTACTATACAAACAACTTGTTTGTCCCCGGGATTCTCTCCAGATCTGCCTCTAGGGGTAAATATGTATCTTGCTTTCTAGATATTGATTTAGAGAATGCATTTTGTATTGTAAATGAGTGAGTTCAGGATCACTGCATGGCAAAGCCTAGAAAGAACACAGCAAGAGGGACAGAAGAAATTCATCCTGCAGCAGAAGTATATAATACATATATATATATATATATTAAATATAAAAAGAAAACACAAGAATCCTCCGTAAAGCTTTAGCGCTTTCATTAAAAATCTTCAGAAGCTTTACATTACAAAAATGTATTTTTTTGTATACAAAAATGTATTTTTTTGTATATATTTTTGTAATGTAAAGCTTCTGAAGATTTTTAATGAAAGCGCTAAAGCTTTACGGAGGATTCTTGTGTTTTCTTTTTATATTTGTTTAATATTGTAATCCGATTACTGAGACTTTATTTCAATTTTGGATATATATATATATATATATATATATATATATATATATATATATATATATATATATATATATATATATATATATATATATATATATATATATATATATACTACAATTATATTATACTACAACTATATAAGACTTACAATGTATAATATAAGGCATATATTAAAGAAATTGATCACATTTTAACACCACATATTTTCCACACATGAAAAGACAAAATTAAAGTTTATCTTGAGCAAAAATTATGAACTGGTAACTTCACACATGAAAAGACAAAATAAGTTTATCTTGAGCAAAAATTATGAACTGGTAACTTCATAACATAAAACTTAAGCAGATATTTTTTTCAAAATGATTATATATCTACTCTTTGCTATATACTTTCCACAGCCTCAATGCATAAAAACACGTAATGGCCAAACACAGAGATTCTGAACCCTATGTTGGGCCCAGGGGAAGGATATCATAAAATATTGAAGTATGGATTGTAAGAGAAAGTTGTATTCTATCAGTTCTTAAAATTACAAACTCTGCCTTTATTCCGCCTAATTTTTTGTCCTACAGACAGACATATGGATTTTTTTCATGAACTTTTTTTTGGACCACCCCCACTTCAGATGAATATTCTTTAAAATCTTTGGTCAATGTTCAACACAATCTAGGCCACATAAGAAAGAGAAAACTCAAAAATGGAAAGAGGAAAGGGAAAATTGCACTCTCAATGCAAAAAAAAGAAGTCTTTTCTGCATATTTCTAGTTCAGATGACCCCTGCATTGTGACCTTTAGTCACATTGTAGGATCGATATTGATGCTCTTTAGTAGCACATTAAACATTTATGTTTTCTTGATGTAGAGTATTACATAAAACAGTGGTTTATAGTTTTTTTTATGATTTATTTTGGACCCCCCCCCCCTTTAAAATCTTTGGCCATCTAAAATTAATTTTTTTTACAACTGAAAGATGAAAATTTTACTTTTGGGAGCTAGTCTGATGGAATTACATATCTGGCACATATTCATATTAGCTTGTAATTAAACAGCGACTGTGGCCATCACACCTGGTGATCTATGATGAATTCTCCATGTAATATTATAGTTGACTCCCTGACATACCATAATCTATACACAATCAATGACGAGACATTGTAGGGTGCAGCTATCAATCACCAGCTACCTAAGGTCCAATATAATGATCAACACATCGTCATTATTTCCGGTGAACATGAATCTCAGCTTTCATGAAATTTCCATGACAGAAAGACTCTATCATTATAATGCTACTGTTTTGAATGATTGAAATAAAGTGGGGTACTTTATAATTTGCAGCCCTTCAAATATAAAGGCAATTCATTCAAAAAATAACCTAAATAATCACACATGGTGTATATATACATTTATGAATGCACCATAAATCTTTAATATTCCATCACAATTAGACTAGCATTAAATATTAAAGTGCATTGCAGAGAATCCTTATAATCGATACAAAGTTATCGTAAACTAAGTTCAAGTCTACCCTTGAACTTCTTCAATTTGAAATCATCCATATTAAGCAATCCTATATATATGGTGCACTCAAATATCAATTAGAACTTACATTAAAAAAGTGTCCAAATTTAAATCCTTTGGGAAAATGTGTTCTCACTTCAATTTTATATATCAGTAGGTAACCTCTGAAATGAAATATCCTCATCAAGCACTTTTGATACACGGATTATCTTTAAAACAGATTTCCAACAGCACAATTCCTGTCAAATTCCTGTCACTGGTCCATGTTCTGACTACTAATTAGGGTTGAGAAAAGTGTACATAATATGGCAGATAGATTATGAGGAGTCAGCTAGGGTACATACAGCTGTAACAAGATCTATATAAAAACCTCGCTTCAACTGTTTCCTGTCAATCTTATAGGACACACAACATGCGATAGTCAATGATCATATAGAGTCGTAATCCACCAGGGTAAAAATAAAACTAATTCTCCTCACACCTGACTGAAGTAATATATTTTCCTTTTTTTTCCTTTCCTATTAGTCACTCACACAATCTACGCCAAATCACAAAAATGTCCTAATCATTTACATGTATATAGTCCATATGCTGTAATGTAGTCCCAATATCAATTATGCACAAGGTTCATTTCTTCTTCCTTATTTCATTGGTGCCCTCGTGTAAATAGATTAGTTTAAAAACAATAAAAAAAAAAACATCACTGAAAGAACAAGTAATAAATGACCTCTGGCCGTGACTGACCATCGTCCACCATGTGGACCAGGCTACCTGGGGGTACCCAGTAACAGGTTTACAGGTCTGTCAATGTCCTTTGATCTGTTGGGCTACTGATCCATGCATCGGTCAGAAAATCACTTACAAAATCTTATATCTTTAGGAACAATGGTGGTATTTTCCATGTTAAATCATCAGGAATAATATCGTCACATTTGAGGAGAAAGTCACCAATAGCTGACCACAAAAGAGGTGAATAAGAGTACAATGGCCCTGCTATAACAATAGGATTAGATGACAGGCTGGACACATTGTGTGCTGTAATCATTTCTATTGACTTCACTTTCTTATTGGTCCTTCCAGCAGCAGTCTGTGCACATTAACTACTGGATACCGCTGACCCTCTGGTCTGTCAAATATGACTATTAAAAGCCTGCAGAGTCTAACATTGGAGAATACTAGTCTAAGAAGCTCATTGTAATGTAATATCATATCATTTTGGATGCATGGTTATTCATGTATTGTAGGTATAGACTACAAGATTAAAGCTATTAATTGGAATTAAAGAGACATGGCTTATCAGTCATTTGGCTCCACGGCAATTTAAAGAATTTTAACAAACCTGATACAGAAACAATGGCTTCCTTAACTGCTAACATATAAAGATTTATCATTACACTCTGTCAACATGATCAATTTGGCATAAAATTCACATCATTGTATACATTTTAGATGTGTAGTGAATTCTGAATGACCTTTGGAAGTCTGTTATTATAATACATTTTGTCATCATAAAAGCTTTCCTAAGTACCTATTTTCTGGCCAGAAAATTCTCCTCCTATGTAATTCATTCAATTTACAGATATACATACTTACATTTAACTGGTGATTCAATAGCTGTCTCGTGGGAAAAAAATTCCCTTTCCAATTTCATTCAAAATTTTTACTCTAAAATGTGGGCATATTTTATATACGGTATAACTTTTAAAAAAAAATGATGGTAAATTTATGTATCTGTTAAAAAATTTATATGATTAATGGACTGGTCAACACTTATGGGAACAAACTGTGATCAGTCATGCCTACTTCAATGTGGGGTAGATCCTACTTATATTCTGAACATCAGGGTAGCCCAGGGGTACATGATCATCTATCCTTTTAAATGGTTTTTTTTCACAAGTCTGATTTCCTTTTAAGAATAAATGTGGTATTTTTTTCCTTCTGCAAGTTGTCATGCCAATAATGAAAACTTCTTTCTTTTTCCTTATCACAGAAAATAATTCAGAATCAATATTTGTTAATTTTACTAAGGAATAAGTTCATATCTGCTCTACATCAAAAGAAGATTCTTAAACCCATGACAATTGACTATTTTTGGGAGGACAAGAGTATATGTATATAGAACAGAAAGTCTATGATTTGATCCATCCTAAAAAGGGCTTGAACATCAAAATGTTGCAGAAATTTGAAGTCAGTGAATAAGTGGCTGCCATTCTTCAAACATCACTCACTTGGTCACAAGTCAAATTCTAAAAGCTAGCTTTTATTCTTTGAATAATTCATAAAGTTGATCAAATTCACACAAAATATCATTAAAACATGTCTCCTTTCATCAGACATTATAATGTATAAGTAACAGCTGTTCAAAAGTCTCAATTATAGGATCCAACCTACCAGCTGATGAGAAATTCTGAATGCCAGACAAAGAAAACACATTCATTATTATAATTAAGACAGTACAGTTAATTTTTCATTAAATTTAACTTTCATTGTAGTACATGTATGTACTTATAAAGGTACAAACAATATTTTTAGTTCTGATTATAAATTACTGAAAATTTATATACTTTCTTGATATTCAATTGATAACAGTTGATTCATGTCATTTAATTCCTCCCTCCCTCCCACATGAAATCATTCTAAACTTAAGTGTCTGACATGCATAATACACATTTAGATTATACATGGCACAAATATTCATTTTATCAATTTTCTTAAAAAGAAAAGGATTTCTTGATATAACAGTCTATCTCTTCTGTAATATACCAAGGGAATGTAATATTTCACAAATGGAATCCAGAATCATGATAATATATATATATATAAAACCGCGTAAATTGATGAGGACCAGGCTTCACAATACAGTTGATAAACACTCAGACTCCACAACAATTACTGTGGTAGAACTAATGACAATTCCTATATTCCCAGGATTACAAATTCAAATTGATCTCGACTCATCCAGAATATTTATCAGTGATGCAGTTAACGTATTCGCTGCCCTGTTTTATTCACTGAAGATCTATAGGCTGAATTCAAAGTCATTATAACTAAAATGCATAGCTTTGTGTTCACAGATAAATGTTTTGATGGGTATAGGTCTTCAATTTACAAAGTAACTTAACTAATACACATTCATCAATAAGAGCTTGATGAAGCTTAATAATTGCATTCAGGATTTCCAATTAGGGATGAGCCTATGGGAAGTTAAGAATGCAATTTTTTTTTTTCAAATTATTATGTGGTAATCGGTTTTTTTTTTGACAATATTAACTTTCTAGATGCCACTAAACCAATGACCCACCTACCCCCCCCCCCCCCTTTAAAATCTGCCAAAACAGGAAACTGCATCGATTATCGATTTTATTTTTAAAAATTCTTCATCAAGAAATGTTCAATTATTTTATACAAAAGTAAAAATTCATATAAAGATAATATTGGATGGTAACTAATAAATCTTATCAACAATTAAAATCATTCTACCTGAAATGAAACTTTTTTGATTAATTATTTTAGTTTTTGATAATGGTTTTGTTTGTTTGACGTTTTTTTTTAATTCTTTGCTTTGATTCTGATACTTTTTGTCCCTAAACATTCATGAATTGCATGTTTGCATCCTGAATGCTGTGAAAGACGTTACCCTTCCTTTTCCTAGCTTATCAGATAGATTCTCTTTAAATCCGTACCTGCACTTAATGAAGTCATCTACTGCTCCCACTCATTTTGACCTGTCACTTCATCATGTCTGAAAAACACATAGAAAAGGACTTATGAAAACCAGAGAGTAAACAATACAAGCCCACGCACAAAGTTCTAATAACAAGTGAGAAAATTCCTCTCTTGAGTGTTCTTTCCAACTGTCTCTTTGAAATTAAAATTCAGAACTCCTAAAACACAAGTCAAAGACAATCAATTTGTTGTGGATCTCTTCAGCATATGGGGTGAGAGCCTGTAGCATTCCTTCGACTTCATTTCACAGTCAACTTGTCAAAATATTACTGGAGCTGAATTACTCTCCTGATGTTAATTACAAAGCAAAAACAAATTCCTACCCAAATGATTACAGCTGCAAAGTGTTTGGCAATTTTTGTAGGGAAGAGATGAGGTGTTTGAAAATGAATAGAATATAAGCAACAAAGAAACATTAAATGTATCTAACACTCAGAAAAATTCAAGCTTCTTGTAATACATGTATACATATCAACTACCGGTAGTATATGAGAGAGCTAGAGAGAGAGAGAGAGAGAGAGATTAGATTTCATGTTTGCACACATTAGGAGAGAGTTGTTACATTTTTTTCAATGTACAGTCAAACCTGTATTAAGAGACCTTCCAACGGAGAAAGGAAAAAAAGGTCACATATGACAGGTGGTCTCTTACTACAGGTTGCTTCCGCAGTGATCAAGTGTACAAATACAAAGTATGTGGAATTTATATTTTTATCATGTATTGTTTATTTTAGCTTGTATCATGTATTGTATATTTTTGATTTTCAATAAGTTTTGCTCAACTGTAAATGCTTGCATATTATGGGGTATATTATTGGGTACAGTCGTAATGTTCGGTAATAAAATTTGTGATTGATCCAACCTGAGTCATTTTGAAAATTGGAAAATTTTGAACATCTGAAAATATTTCTGTGCACAAAATGAAAAAAAAAACTGTAGAATTTTTTTTAATAACTTATTTTACATGATAGCCTAGTATATAACGTTATATGTTCTACACTTTACTAAGAATTGAAACTGTATCATCATTTTCGTTATGAATTTGTCATCAAATAAAATTATAATAATGACCAAAAATTTATTTATCCTAATTAATTTTTTCATTGCTAACTATTACTCTAATTGCCTGTTGGTCATCAGTCACCTTAATTCAACACCTGGTATGGGTGCTAGCTAGCGCATGTTTATATAAACCGACAGTGACACAATCCACTTGAATAAACATCTAGGATTTAGTTACTTGTAAATAAAAAGTTAAACAGAAAAATTGGAAGTTTTATAGTTTTATAGTCCATTAGGCCCTTAAAGTACGAAATATGATACTCATCGGGATCAACCTCGAACGTCTACTCTCAAAATGGCGCTCAAACTTTGGAGAGAAAAAAATGTGAATGTTTATGCATTCAATTTTAGTCATATTTTAATAAAAGAAATAAGTAATGAAATTGCAATCCCTCAAAAAATTCTGTTCAATAAATCTTTGAAAACTGGGAAATTTCCATGTCCGGCTTTCAGATAACATTCAGTGTTCTTGTGGATATACCAATGAAAACACTGAACACTTTTTTTTGTATTGTAAAAATTATGCTCAAAGAAGAGCAGAATTATTTCACACTGTCTATAAGAAATAACAAGGGAACAATATAGACCTTGACACAATTCTATCTGGGGATGCAAACTTGGTAAAACAAATAATATGAACATTGTTAAAGCCGGACACAAATATAGTAAACATAGGTAATCAGAGATTACAGAGCTCACCTCAACAAATATTGTCTTTAAGTAAGACAAAGTCCCACACTAAACTAATAATCTTGGAGTGTGCATCCCTATATGCAAAATTTATGCAATTTTGGTCTGATAGGGCTTGCAGTTACTTGAGAATAGTTTTCTGAAAACTTAAAACTAGTCACTCATCCAGAAAATGTAAGTCAAATCCAGCATCCGAAGCAAGTTTGAGATTTTTCATCCTTTGATGCATCATCCATGCAAGTTGGGTACATACCTCTAATTATTTTTAGAATTGGTAGGGGAAGAAAGTAGTGCAGAAAAAATTACAAGTTCCTTAATTTGCAGACCTGAATAAAAAAAACTGTGATAATGTAGTAAACTGAGCCTCATAAATGTTGATAAGGAGTATGTTCCCTTGCAAAAAAGCTTGGCAGATGTAATTTATCAATAAGATCAGCAGAATTATTTTATGTATTATAACACCAGTGAGAAGTCTGGAATTCCCCTACTTTCACTTTCATTTTCAGAGGTTAACGCAGACAGACGCATTTTGCCAGAAAACGAATCTGACATGCAACCTCGAGATTTTAACCAAGGAAAGACAACTTGATGTGCTTTGATTTGAGGGGTCACTCACTGCTGAACGAAAATTAGGGACATTGCTATGTGAAGAAACGTTAACACTGCCGCCAATGGGAAAACAATTAGTGGACTGTACCCAGTTTGGTTCAGATAGGCCTTATAGTTACTTGGAAATGAGATCTGCTCAAAAAACTTTAATCTGGTTACTCATCTGGAAAATGTAGGTCGTCAGATCCAGCACCTGAAGCAAGTCCAGTAGTGTGAATCCTTAGAAGTATCATCAATGCAAGTTTGGTCAATATAGGGTTTATAGTTACTTGGAAATGACATCTGCTCCAAAAACTTTAACCTAGTCACTCATCCGGAAAATGTAGGTCAGATCCAGCATCCAAAGCAAGTTCAGTAGTGTGCATCCTTAGATGTATTATCCATTCAAGTTTGGTCAATATAGGGTTTATAGATACTTGGAAAAGACATCTGCTCCAAAAACTTTAACCTGGTCACTCATCCAGCAAAAATATAGGTCAGATTCAGCATCCAAAGCAAGTCCAGTAGTGTGCATCCTTAGATGTATCATCCATGCAAGTTTGGTCAATATAGGGCTTATAGTTACTTGAAAATGACATCTGCTCCAAAACCTTTAACCAGGTCACTCATCCAGAAAATATAGGTCAGATCCAGCATCCAAAGCAAGTCCAGTAGTGTGAATCCTTAGATGTATGATCCATGCAAGTTTGGTCAATATAGGGCTTATAGTTACTTGGAAATGACATCTGCTCCAAAACCTTTAACCAGGTCACTCATCCAGAAAATATAGGTCAGATCCAGCATCAGAAGCAAGTCCAGTAGTGTGCATCCTTAGATGTATCATCCATGCAAGTTTGGTCAATATAGGGCTTTTAGTTACTTGGAAATGAGACCTGCTCCAAAAACTTTAACCTGCTCCAAAAACATTAACCTGATCATTCTTTAGCTGAAATTGCAGCATCTGAAACCTTGACTGGTACAATGAAACACACTAGAAGCATCCTCCATGCATCTCTGACTAATATAGGCCATAGAAGTACTTGAAAAGAAAACTGCTCCAAAAAACCTTAACCTGGGACGCCAATGCCAACACCGAGGTGAGCTAGAAAATCAAACAGATTTTTATGAATAACCAGCGTAACCATTCTGTATCTATTACAACCCCTTTCCTTTCTTTCTTTGCACCCCCCACCCTTTTCTTATTTCCCTGCACTTTTTTGTATTGTACATTTGTTTGTTGTACATCACATATATATGTATATGTAATTTTGTTTGTGTTGGAGAGGACAATTCTAAGTTGGTTAAACTTGTGTCCAATCCCATTGATTATGTTTCAATAAAATATGTTTAAATACAAATATAAATACAAATTTAATTGTAACGTTTATTCAATAAATATCAAATCATAAGTAAAAGTGTTTATTTTGAATTGTTTTACTTGTAAAACTCGCTATATATAATTATTAAATGATATAAACATGTGAATGTAGATGTTGGAACAAAAAAACGTAGCATGCACGACCGAAATCGAAAGTAGGATCGGAAATTATAAAGTCGTTTAATCAAAGGTAAAATTGCCTGAAATCACTAAAAATAGTCGCAAAAATCACGGACGCTGGTCGCGTCAGACAGGTGGTCATTTAATACAGGTATAATATATAGGAAAACACCTAGGGAGGGATTTTTACGGTCACATATGAGAGTGAGTGGCTTAATACAGTGGGTCGCTATGGCAGTTTTGACTGTTATTCAGTAATTCTAAATAAATATAATGAATTAAACATCTTATAAAATATTCCATTAATTATATAAGAAACTAATCATATAAATTTACCCATTCACTTTCATTAGGACATCATTCAGTGCATCTGTCCTTGATTCAATGATAATCTACAAAAAATAAAACAAGAGAATTAATATGAAAATAGTCAGGTCTCTCTCAAAAAAAATTATAACAAAAAAGTTAATGATTGGCAAGGGAGATTCCAAGTAATGAAATTACACCTACTCCATCCTATTATGGTTTCAGATGAACATTCAATCACTCTCAGTTCAATGAAACCACAATAGAAATTGAGAATGAGATGATATTACATGAGAGATTAAACTCTCTCTCTCATGTTGTTTGCTGCCAGCTTTTTTTCCCCTCTATGCAGCTCTTATTAAATCAGAATTATACACAGCGCTGAACTCAGGAAGGGTACATTGCGTTTCAGCTGCTTTTATTACAATTTCATCAGGTTCACTGCCAGAAAATCAATGTTAACCTACTAAATTTGTTTGCTGGAGCATGATTTTGTTTGCAATCAAATATTTTTCCTCTATATACTCTAGGTATTATGAATTTTTCTCTATATACTTAAGGTTACAATGAAATTTTAAATTTCATCATTTTTTTTCATTTGTGAGCAATATCTACCAGCTGGTCTGCCAGATTTATTTTGATGGCAATTACATGTAAATAGTAACTGAAGCCATAATCATTTGACACTAAATCATGAAAATGCATAAGGCACATGAAACACTTTCTATTTTAGATAAAATGAACAGCCATAATTATAATTTAACAAGCTAATTCAGGGAATTTGTGTCCCCTGCTTAAGGAAACAAGAGGCCCATGGGCCACAACGCTCACCTGAGTAACTTTGGCATTGCTGTTTTTCACCCGATTTCCCCCTGGTAATACCTATTGTGGCGCCGCCCTTTCCTAGGGGTCATGATTTTATGAATAATTTAGGCTACCCCAGGATGCTTCCACTTAAGTTTCAGCTTTTCTGGCCCAGTGGTTCTTGAGAAGATTTTTAACGATTTTTTCTACATATTTCAATGTAAAACTTGGATTCCATATTGTGGCCCCGCCCTACCCCCAGGGGTTATGATTTGAACAATTAAGAATCTACACTACTTCAAGATGCTTTCATATAAGTTTCAGTTCTTCTGGCCCAATGGTTCCTGAGAAGAAGATTTTTAAAGAGTTTTCCTACATATTTCAATGTTAAAATTGGATTCCCTTTTGTGGCCCCGCCCTAGCCCCAGGGGTCATGATTTGAATAATTTAGAATCTATACTACCTCAGGAACTTTTCACATAAGTTTCAGCTTTTCTGGCCCAGTGGTTCTTGAGAAGAAGATTTTTTTATAGATTTTTTCTACATATTTCAATGTAAAACTTGATTCCCTATTGTGGCCCCGCCCTACCCCCCAGGGGTCACGATTTGAATAATTTAGAATCTACACTACCCCAGGATGCTTCCACTTAAGTTTCAGCTTTTCTGGCCAAGTGGCTCTTCAGAAGAAGATTTTTAAAAATTTTTCTACATATTTCAATGTAAACCTTGGATTCCCTATTGTTGCCCCATCCTACACCCGGGGGTCATGATTTAAACAATTTAGAATCTACACTACCCCAGGATGTTTCCAAATAAGTTTCAGCTTTTCTAGCCCAGTGGTTCTTGAGAAGAAGATTTTTAAAGAGTTTTTCTACATATTTCAATGTAAAACTTGGATTCCCTATTGTGGCCCCGCCCTACCCCCAGGGGTCATGATTTGAACAATTTAGAATCTACACTACCCCAGGATGCTTCCACATAAGTTTCAGCTTTTCTGGCCCAGTGGTTCTTCAGTAGAAGATTTTTTAATGACCCCAACCTATTTTTGACTTTTCTTGATTATCTCCCCTTGGAAGGGGGCTTGGCCCTTCATTTTTACAATTTGAACTCCCCTTTACCCAAGGATGCTTTGTACTAAGTTTGGTTAAAATTGGCCTGGTGGTTCTTGAGAAGAAGTTGAAAATGTGAAAAGTTTACAGACGGACAGACAGACGGATGGATGACGGACAACGGGTGATCAGAAAAGCTCACTTGCGCTTTCAGCTCAGGTGAGCTAAAAAGAAAAATTCCATCCTAATTTTGGGCAACCAAGTTTTGCATTCAGACAAGTCAAAGTTTGAGATCACATTTGCCCGAAGAGCAAGTGAATCTGAAAGTTAATGTCTATCCCTGTGTATGAATTTCTGACATTGACTTTTGACCTCAGAATCAATAAGAGTCTTCTTTAGACCACAGGAAGTTGTGATATAAAATTTCACAGCAAAAACAAAAAGCTGGGAGGCTTTTTAAAAAATCTTCCAGAAACAAAAGTGTTCCACACAGACAGAAATGTATGAATTTTTGACCCTGACCCATGACTTCTGTCCTCAACAATTAAAATGGATCTTCTTTAATTAAGACAATACAAGTAATGATATACAATTCCTTTGAAAGAGCTCAAAGGCATTTTAATATATTGTCTGGAAACAAATTAAAGTGTTCTTCACAGACAATGTATAAATTTCTGACTTTGACCTCATAATAAATAGGGATCTTTTTTAGGCAATGGGAAGTTGTAATATACAATTTCTTTGCTAAAGCTCAAAGGCTTTTTGAGATATCACACAGAAATGAGAGTGTCACATATAGACATAATGACAGACGGGCTGAGACAGACAGACCCAAATTAATATCCCCCACTTTAAGTAAAAGCAGGGGACAATTACTTTGAAATTCATAATATGAGAACAAGGAATTTATACCCAGTTGATACATAAATATTAAATATATATTACAAATATATTTTATATGTCCAGCTAATTTTCATGTACATACATCTTACTTCAGGTGTACGACATCAATATTAATCTGTTAAGCATTATACTGCTTAAGTTAGCTTATAGTATAAGTACATGTATTCATTTAAGCAAAAGTGCTATGAAATATCTGTTGTCTTTTGTGAAAAGGTATCAATTAATTAAAATCAATAACCACCCAAGATTGTCTCTTCTGGTGGTGTCAACAATGAAATTAGATCAATGAACTTAATGTGTTACATTGTTCACAATAAACATCAGGACAGGCAATAACTAACACCCTCAAGGTCTCCCAATAGATGGCGGCAAACACATTACCTAATAAGGAAATTGATATTGATGATGCTAATGAGGTTAAAGGTGTATAAATTAAAACAGATTTTTTGTTTTATCACTCTGCTTATTATGCCACAATGACATTTAATGTATTGTTTACTGTAATTGATCTTTTTGTTGTCAATTTTAAAGAAAAATAAAAAAACAATGTATAAATTTCACATAATTGTCAATAAAAATGGACTCCTTTTATGTATACAGTACATTATAAATTAATCATAAAAACTATCAACATGAATTTGCATATTTTACGTTATTATAGACTCCTATGATTTTTCATGACAAAATCAATATACTTTTAGCTGATGCCCTTGCCAGGTCTTATTTCAAGCTAAACTATATATGCATTCATCTTCGCTAGCCAAGGGTGACGATCCGCTCCTCTCCTCTGAAAAGAGGAGAGGAGCGGATCCTCACCCTTTGCTAGCGATGATGATATGCATTCTACATGTAACAGTTTCTTTTACCAGACTGATTTTCCGCCAACTAAAAATAACTTACAGTTTTGGTTCAGGAAAACCCCTAGAATCATAAACCTTTCTAAATGGTATATTTAAAAAAAGAAAAGAAAAATTTAAGCAGAATGACCTTGTTTGCTATAACCTTGAAAATCAACTTAATTTCAATAATAAAAGTGTGAAACTTGCAACACTGTATTCGATCTGTGCCAAATATACTGCAGTTGACTGAATTATGACATAATGCTTGACCTATGATCAAGGATATCAGTTGTTGATTCCTAAAATATGCTTCAAAAAAACTTTGACCAACAGCAAAATAATTGAAATGTTTTTTTTCTGATTTTATCACCGAGACCTGAACCAATACTATATTGTCTTTTGAAAATCAGTCTTGTAGTGGTCTTTTTTAACCCTAAAAATATACTTTTTTCTTTCTGCAAGAATTTTGCATGATAATCATGAATTATTAAAAGAAAAAAAAAATAATTCATATCATTTTTTTTTTTTTTTTCAATTTTACCATAGAATCTTTGACCTATGACAATATGACATAAGTCTTTTCATCCCTTTGACATAAGTTTTATATTGACATCTCAATTCTTTTAAGAAATTGATATGTGTGAATGAAAGATCAGTGTTTTGACTTTATTTCAAAGTAAAGGGTTTCTAACTGGCTAGGGGTTGAGGTTTATGAATAAAATCTCCGTGGACCTTATAACAGTCATGTTTTAAATTTTGATTTCTGAGCGGCATTTATATCAATTCAAGTGGTCAATTTGGCCAGAGTATCCGGTTCTTAGGGAAAACACTGAAAGAATTATTAAATATATTGATAAAAAATTAGACAACTAAATATATAGACATACAGTGTAAAATATATTATGATTTCCCGTATGTCAGAGAGAATAGTTGTGTTTCAGGGCTGGGTATCAGTTGGGAAATTTGTACTGCGATATCTTGAGATATTTTGAACTGTATTGCGATATGTATTGCAATATTTTTAATAACAGTTAAAATGCTCTTTTCTTATTTTATTAACCTCCATTTATAAGCAGAGTGTATCAAACTTTTATAAATACGTTGTAACAAAAAAGTTCTAGTTAATTTCACTACAGTTTGGCAACGAAATGCAACTATACAACAGAAACTTTTACCGTTTGGTACTGTTTAGCACGATTGAAAACATTTCTGACGTACGTACATCTTAAATTTCATAATTCACTTAATAAATCTAAAGCCCAAGCATTTTATCTGTACTGAAAAAACGTATCACAATACGATATTCTTTGTTAACAAATCGCAATATACCGGAATACCGATACTATTGTCTTTTCATTGAACTTATTATACATATATCAACTATAAAGAGCACATCTGAAACAATCGATACTTTTTTCTTTTTTATTTTAAAATAAGTAGGTCTAAAGACTCATTTACACTTACCAAAATTGACAAACCTCAGGAAGTTTACAGACTTTAAAAATCCCCTCCTTCAAAATTTACTTAATTTGACAACAGATTACAGCTAGAACTCCAGAATTCCACCAAAATCAATACTGCATCTTGTTGTTTTTCCCACTTGTTTACTTCCAAAATGGCTCTGCATGAAAGCACACAAGCACAATTAAAATCAATAATCTATCACAAACACTAGTGACTCAATCAGGCAGCAGATGAAAGAATAAGCGTTCCCAATGATATTAAACGCATCATACAGATGCTGGCAAAATCCAATTGAAGGGAAATAACTCTTTCACATTACAAAAGCAAAGTATCAACCATTAAATATAAGTCTGCAATTTTATTTTAAATTACTTCTTTCATCCTGCAGCTGTTGCAGATTGCTAAATCAAAATGAGTTCCTCAGGATACTATATGTTTATGGCAGCTGCATATGATTTCTGATTCTGTTTTTTTATTATGATTTTAGTGAAATTTTCTCCTCACGTCGACCTGCTGTCTGCCACAGGCCATGGATCAGTGAGTTTCACATGCCAGATCAATCTATCTGCCTCAGTTTCCAATTAAGAAAATTATTTAAAAGGGAAAAAATGATAGTCTTACTTTGAAAGTTTGTCTACCTTGATTTGCTTGTTGGGCTTAAGGTTGTTATAAATTCATATTTTACAAATGAATTACATAATGTCATAAAGCAATGACTCTGAAGTCAGTGACTTTGACTTGCAAGAAAAGGTCTTATACAGCTAAATATATCTTAATACCTATTGTTTATAGTCAAAATGGATTCAAGCCTATTAAAGCATATTAAACATGGGTAATGACTTTCTAAGGAATTAAATGTTTAAAAAAACTTAAAACTGATTGCATTTTTTTAAGCAGGATAATACCAGGTATCTCCAATATGATCAATACAGTGAAAGACTTATAGTATATATCCAAAAATAATCACTTTTACTATAACTTAATTACCAATTAAAGACTGAAAAGTTCAGAGATGAATTCCAAAAAAAATTACAATATTCAAACACAACAACTCTGTCAATGTTCATAACCTTCTGTTCACATATGCTGTTTCAAATTTCTGGTATTTCAAAACTTTTAGTAAAATTGAACTACTTACAAAAGAGTTCCAAAAATGTAAAACTGAAAGTGATTTTGATTCAGTGCAATGCAAATTACTCAGAATGCTTTCCAAAGGGGGGATTCTGATTAACCCCGCCTGAGACAATATCAATCTGTCTACACTGATTCCAGTATCTGTCTAGATGTTGCACCTGACATGACACCTTCTCAGCTGAAATGTTTGGCATCCAATCAAGATGACACAGATAAGGTCAGTAATGAGTTTAGAACTGAGAGTCAATTACACATGACCCGTTCAAGTGTTATCACAAAAGTCACACAGCTAATGAGGTCTGAATGGAGATTTTTCATGACCATGATAAATTCAGCATTTCAAATGATCTTGTGAGCAACAACGATGAAGGAGAAATATATATTGTTATCTTTAGATGAATGAATCAATTTAAAAACATAAATGTCCTTTTATTGTATGTGAAGTAACAACTAAAGTACAGATAAAGTATGACCTTTAGATTAAGATATTTTATTGACATCTTTTAAATTATTATTATACCTGCTTAAAAAATCTGCTTAGAGCTAACAAAGAGTAAGTTTTAAAAATAACATCATCAAAATGTAAGCATCATCTTTACTAATTTAAGCCATCAATTTTGAATACATCATGCATGCAACCCTCTCCTCTTTCTGAGTCACTGTCTTTTTTTTTTCTGGGACCTGATCATCATTTTTGTCATTGTAAGTGCTGGGATATACATGTACAATTTCTATGTAAAGATGACAGCAAATACATAGGATTGGGGTTTTTTGATTTATTTAAAAGATATTTATTGTATTACATATACATGTACAAAAGGATTGAATACAAGTTCTATCAACTTAGTAAATCCTTTCCTTGTAATACATATAATGATTACAATCAGACTTTCTATTTATCAATGGGTCACAGGGTGAAGTTTTTGCAAAAAAAATTAAAGATTTCACTGGGTCTTAATTTTGTTTTCCTCGATCTAATTAAAATTAGATCTTTGATCTGCTCCAACTAGATCGCTACACAAAGTAGCGATCTAGTTGGAGCGGATCAAAGATCTAACTTTAATTAGATTGTGTTTTCCTGACATTGCAGTAAATCTCAGCCTTCACTTCATTTAACTTCACATTAGCTGCACTCAGTTTTTATAGTACATTAGACACATGTAGAATGTTCTATCATTAAAATGATTTTGTCCTACACACACAGTTTAATGGTAGAATTTGTTTTGTGTGTTGTCACTGTAGCAAAATAAACAAGGGCAGATAATTCTAATCTACATGTTTTCCAAATTTGTAAATTCTAATCGTGAAGAAAAAACGTTGAGAGAATGAGTTGAATTTTGGACTTTACAGAATTTTTTTTCTTTTTTTCTGCATATTCTTAGGGTAGAAAGATAATACAAGCTCGAAAAGGTTTGTTATGATTAATTATGTAGTTATTTTCAGTGTAAAATCCTTTCGTAGTGAATCCACTCCAATACTTTCTATTTTCATTACTAGAACTCTTAAAATTAGAGGCGCGTTTGGTCGTCTGACTGGGACAACAATGACGTAGCAGCGAATACAAAACATGCCGATCTTAATCCAATTTTGAATGTTGAATGTGATTGTCATTCAAGTTAAAGAATAGAAGAACTAATAGGCATATGTGAGATTGCAAAAGCCCTGAATTTTATATTTTATCATCCATTGATAAACATTACAACATTTCCAAGGCATGTACATTGTATTTAGAGACGAACCGTCAACACTAAGTCTTGTCAACAACTTCACGTGGTGAATAAATTGACATTGTCGTTTCTACTTCTGAAGCATATGAAGTCCACAACATTTGCATGTTTGTTACGCTTTTTTCATCGACATTCAACACAAAGAACAAAGAACTATAACTCTTCCATAGTGGAAATAGAAAGTATTATCTACAATTTGCAACAATATGGAACATGATTTTATAGATCTGTGATGAGGGCTCACAGTCCCTAGACACAGTTACATGTAGATTAGTGTAACTAATAGTACATGTACATTACCTTACCTTCTTTTTCAATTGCTTTAATAATTATATTATATAGATGCATGGGTGGGCATATTGGTTTCAGTTTATAAGTATAAATTCAATTATCAATTTAAGTATGGGCCAACAACTCTAAGCTAAAATTTCAAAGGTTTAATTTATATAAAATTTTGAAATAGAAGCCTGATTAAGAGAAGATGAACTCAACAGGTGAAATTTTGTCAGTCCGATGTATAAATGTGATTGAATCATTGACACATGTAACGTTACATACTGAATATGTCATGGAGATCATACCAGGAAATACCTATATATAACCAATATACTCAACTTCCCATTTAAAACGAGAAAAACCTGGCAATTTAATTTCTAATGAGCCGTTTTCACTAAATTACAAGATATAAATATCCTAGCAACAACCTTTAATAAATGGCAAGACTCAGAATATTATTTCAAATTGTATTTTTTTCACTTTCAGATTAGAAAGTAACAGTTAAATGAAAGTTTAGATTTGCACCACCATGAAATCTCTGGAATACAGAATTTGCGCCTTACCTAATAAGTTATTGCTATCATCAATATCATCTGATTAATAAAAGCTTTCCGTTTACTGCAACAAAAGCTGTCAACAAATTACCTCAGCGTTATCTGTCAAACGTTATCGCAATAACAATCCCGAGTTTACTCAGGTGTGTAACTAATGCCGCTAAATTACCTGGATTTTACATCTGCTCGCTTCTCTTAAATATGCTACAGTTGGCACTGTTGTCTACAGCAGTTTAAAATGGTTATGCCTCAACGATCACATACTATTTTTCTATTGATTACGTGAACTTATTAAGGAAACGCTTTGACGCCACCACAGCACATTCGCACAGGTGATAAAACAACGACACCTTGATTACATCCGGGTAGCATGCAAGCGCGCGAAATGTAAAATCACTCATCGCTGATCGATGTGTCATTAATTTCTCGAGTGATCAAGTAACAGAGAGTCGATAATTTTTTTTTTAACAAATGGCTTAAACTTAACATGTTCATTTAAAATTTAGGAAAATTCTCGTAAATTTCCACCCCTTCCAAACATTGTGTATTTTCTTTAGAAATTGCATTTAGTTTCTAAAAGGGGGGGGGGGGAGGAGGAAGTTATACGGAGGCCGGAGGAAGGGGTAAGAGACAATTAGGGCGAAGATATAATGCTTAGAAAGGGAAGATTGAGGGAAAAAGGAGATGGAAACACGGGAAAGAAGAAAAATTGATTAGACGGTGAATAAATACAAATGCAAATACAAATGTATTTTATTGGCACAAACACAATTTTACAGTAATTGGTAAAGGTCCATACAGAACATATTAATAAGCATAATAATACAGTAGAACACAACTAGAATACAAACAGTTGGTGTAGCAAATAATGTAGTGTACTCATCCGATACTAAATAATTCATAACAATGTAGTTACTCATTTATAGCTAAAACATTTTTTCTAATATCAGATATTTGACATAAAAATGAAGATAATATTTTAAAAACCCTTTTACACCTTGTTTTCATCAATGATTTTAACAAATTGTCATTATTATGGATTGTTTGGTTGAATTTAGGGAAAGTAGATAATTTTGTTTTCAATATTTTTCTCTGTGCTTCATATTTCGGACAGAGCAAAATGGAATGTTTTTCATCCTCAATATCAAGGTTTTGACAAACTTTACACAATAAATACGTTAAAAGCAGTGGACACCCTTAAAATTTGGGGGGGGGGGGGGGTCAAGGTCTGTTGAGACGTTCCTCGAATATCTGATTTAGTATTTCTTTAACTGTAATATACATAAATATTTATAATTATTATTATCTTATGATTTCTAAACTG